CTGTTATATATGCATGTTGGTTGTACCACATGATTTTGACTCGGCAGACAAAATTAAATGAATGCAAAAATAAGTAATTATATATCAAATGAAAATAATCCTATATTTTTAACATATTAATGTTAATTTAATGAAATTACTGTTAATATATTAACATATTAATACAATGACAATATTAACATGTCAGTCAAATACATTCTTAACATAAATGTTGATAATAATGTATTGCCAGAACTGCATCATTGTCCGTATTCAGATTTTTTTTCATTATGGTTTTTTGAATTTTTATTTATTACTTTTTTGCATTAAATGTATTTATTTTAGGGATGCACCGAAATTAAATTTCTTGGCCGAAACCGAACAAAATTAAACACTGGAATGAAGGCCGAATATCGAACACTGGTTTTTGAGTTTTTTTTCCCCATGTATTTTGCCAATTTTTTTTTTCACCATTGCATAAATTTAAGAGCCAAAATTTGCTTTTTTTCTGTTTTGTCTTGCCTTTCAAAAAAAAAAAATCAATTACAAAACAACAATTTAAAAATATTTAACACTGAACATTTTTAACATTCTAGCAGACACTATACCAACAAAGCACCATTTAACTTCAAATTAATAAGTTAGTAAAAGAAAATCTTTTGGCCATCAGACCCCCTTCTTGAATCAGGCATTTTTTTTTTTTTTACTGTACAATTAAAAGCAGCCTTGCTGAGAAGAGACTTCTTTTAAAACATAAGAAAATATTACAGATCCTAATTTGAACACTGTGTGTGAATGTTATAATAAATGTATTAAAACAGAGCTGTTGTAATGATTATTATCATTATTATTGTCTTACTTTTTATTTTATTTTACAGAACAACAGTAAAATTACAATACTAACATTTATGAATATTGATAAGAGTTCTTGTTTTTTTCTCAACTTTTATTTTGGTGGAAACGCGCAGGAAGACTTCAATGCTTACTTTTGTTGACAACAGATTTATAAATTAGTCTCATTACGAATACGTCGTACATATCGCACTGTCACATGACTTCATAAATTCATAAAAATGTGACTGAGCAACTGACGACTGTATCAGCGCAGATTTTCCTCGCGCTTTGTACTTTGAACCCTGGTTAACAAGCAGATCTGCTGTGAATTCATGCAGCGCTGTCAGAATACATGCAATGCGCTAGGTATTAGAAAACATAACGTTCTGCAGTTTATTTACTAATTGTTTAAGGCCATTTTGCGATTTCAGTCATCATAGAGTAACCAGCAACAATCACCCCTTCCTCTTCTCATTGAAGACATGCGATGCAGTCCTAAACAGTCTCTCGCTGTCGGTGCTTGTAATGATTTTTGCGTCTTTCTCCGACAGTTTAAATGCTTCCACACTGCTGATATGTGTGCTGCGTAATAAAGAGTGTGCGCCTCTCGCTCTGCGCTGCTTGCTATTTGATCAAGTCATATCATTGTTCGGTACAATTTATGTGGTCTTTTCACTTATTCGGCCGAACACCGAAAGAGCTTTTTTTGCTATTTTCGGCTGAATAATTTCGGTTGCCGAACATTCGGTGCATCCCTAATTTATTTATTTATTTATTTTGCATCCCATGGCTTGGTTTGGCTCTAGTATAATAATATATTGCCAAAACGGCTTCACTGCATTGTTATTTTTAGTATCACTGTTATAGTTTTTGTTAATGTTTTGACTTTTATATTTTGTTTTCACTTTAATTTTAAAGTTTTAATAATGTTTTAGTTTTTTGTGATTATTTTTTTATTTATTCGTTTTTTAAACTAAAAAGTTTTTAAAATAGTATTTATTAATTTCTATTTATTAGTTTTAGTTTATTTGTGATTTGCAGGAGTTTATGAAATGCGGTTGTCACTCTGGTTTCTATCTGAAGTGTGTGTGAATGTAACTCTAAAACAGACAAGCATATTCTGCTGCTGTGTGAATTTAACCTATGAGACCATGTTTGAATAGATTATCATCATGGTGTAATAAGATCTTGTGACTCAAGATCAACCCCGTACAAACAGATTCTGCTAAGCTGTCAAAGCTAAAGGATAAATGTGTTTTTTGGATGAATGCTCTTGAGTTCATCCATTATTAAGCTTCAGCCTTCAGCTTTTGTCTGTAGCACTGGTTAATTTTTCAGGAAGACACTTGGAGCATTTTCCCTCCCTGCCTGTGGATCCTCTTTTTTTTTTTTTTGCCATATAGCAGGATTTAAAATTCAGCTGAATTAGTCATAGTAGCGCATGTTCATGCCGTATTTGTGATGCATGCTGGGGGGTTGTTGGGGGTTTGATCGTCTGCTTGCCTGAAACAACTGTTGGAGTTGTGTGCAGAGCAGGAAACAAACAAACACAAAGGATGCCCAGGGCAAAGCATGCCATCTCTGACCTACTTAATGCACCAGGACAAGCAAGGACTACCGCTATTGTTTTAAAATCTGTCCAACATAAACTTGGCCAAATGTGTCTCTGCTCAAATATTGTACTATCATTAATTTAAATAATGAAATATTATAAGAATTTTGAATAAAATATATAGTATTATATACTATTATATAGTTTTTCGTTTTTTTTTTAATTGGCTAAAAATTGGCATTTTTATTTTAGTTAAAGTTTAAGATTAATTTAGGTATTTTTTGATATTTGTCATTTTATATTAGTTTTTTAATATTTACATTTTAGCTTTTTTTTTATTTCCGTTTAAGTAATTTTAGTATTTCAGTTTAAACTTATTTTATCTGAGTTAGTTGCACATTTCTAACTTTGTTTAAAGTTCAACTAATATTTATTTTATTTCAGATTTATTTCTGTTAATAAAAATGATTTTTAATAGTTGTAGTTTTAGTTGTAGTTAACAGTAACAACACTGCTTCAGTGTTTTTCACAAAAATGTAAAGATTTTGTGATGTATTGTTATGCACATGCATTGAACTTTGATGCCAAAATGTTTCACATGTACCAGTTACTGCCATCAGAGAATTTAGCTATTGCTAATTTGCATTGATTGGAAATAGGCTAGTTTATGAGTTTCCTTTAGGCCTTTTTAGTGACGTCTGTCTTTTATAGCCATTGAATCATTGATGCATTAAATGTGTGCTGCTCCACGTGTGTTCCTGTGAATGTATTTCCATCCATCCTCTCACTGCAAAGTACCTTTTGTTAGGAGTGCATTAAAAACCTTGATGTCTATTTCTGAAGCCTATCTTCCTGGACAGGACTCGCAGGACTACGTGTCTTCTTTCAGACGTTATACAATATCTATTTATTCCATCTGCCTTTCACCCCACCAAAGAAACCTTGCAACTGTAGCACTTGCACTCAGTTGTCGCTACCCTGAAGTTATTTGAGGCTACAGGAAGCATTGAAGTCTGTTGCTGAAGTTGCTCTTCAGAAGCAGAACTGTGTCTCGGATGATGTGATAAGAGCGTGAAGGAAGATTCGAGTTTCTGTGATCTTCTGCGGGCGAGTGTGTGTGTGTGTGTGTGTGTGTGTGTGTGTGTGTGGATTCAGGCCTGTGATAATGAACCGTGTCCTTGTCACCACACACTCTGCTCATTAAGAAGAGGAGCCCTGCAGTGGAAGAGCTGCAAAGAATCTCAAAGATTCAATTATCCATTTCATTTTGATTCATATTTGCTTACATACTCAGGAGTTTTTGTATTAACACTCTTTGGAATGCTCATGTTTTCCCATAATCGAGCATGGGGTTTTGTTGTATAGTGTATTTCAGTGTCTTTCTGTTTTCTGTGATCATTTCAAGCTTCAAAGTTTGCTGGCATTTCTATAAAAGTCAGACATGATATTTACGAAGAGTAGTGATCCTTTTGAAGTGTCTGATTAATTTGCATAGTAACTTCATTATCTTCATTAATTGACTTTTCATCTAACTTCATTAGAATATAGCAAAATTTAATTTTGAATATCTAATAATAAGAATAAGAATACCACGCCGAATTGAGGCAGTAATTAAAGCAAAAGGAGCCCCTACCAAGTATTGAGTACATGTACAGTAAATTAACATACTTTCCAGAAGGCCAACAATTCACTAAAAAATTTTTTTTAAATTGGTCTTATGAAGTATTCTAATTTGTTGAGATAGTGAATTGGTGGGTTTTTGTTAAATGTGAGCCAAAATCATCACAATTAAAAGAACCAAAGACTTAAACTACTTCAGTCTGTGTGCATTGCATTTATTTATTACACGAGTTTCACAATTTGAGTTGAATTACTGAAATAAATGAACTTTTCCACGACATTCTAATTTATTGAGATGCACCTGTATATAATAGTGTTTTCATAACACATTTCATTTTATTTTTTATTTGATCTGCCTAATAATAATAATAATAATAACTATAATAATAAATATAAATATAATATATTTAGAATTTAATATATTTAAAATACTATTACTACTAATGTTTATATAATACTAATTTATATAATAATAATAATATATAGTGATCACTTTTTATTTTATTAACATTATTATTTTTCTTCTTAATATATTTACATTTTAATTGTTATTGTAATAATACATTCTTGTTGTTTAAATTATTACAATAATGATTTTTTTGTTACATTTATTCAGTGTTATTGTGCAATCTTATTTGTTGCATATTTATTTTGTTCCCTTGTTTTGGGCTATGTCTAACTGTTAGGGTGTGTGTTGGTCACCTTGAGAATGAATAGCTGTTAAGTGAATATTTCTACAAAAAAATCTGTCTGTCTGTCAAAAACAAAAATAATAAATCAGTAAATAGACCCCATAAATAGAACGCATGTAGACAAACTGATTTGATGTGGGAATGTAAAAAAATAATTGAAACGGACCTATTGTTCTGTCTCTAATAAATGTTCCGGAGCGTTGCAGATGAATTATTCTCTATTTTCTTAAGTGCTACCTTTCTGCCAGCATTGAGCATTTTGTTAATTAAAGACCTGTAAGCGTCAGTGTTGGGTTATTAATCATGTTTTCTCTCCTCCGCAGGGTCCACCTACAGCATCCTGTCCACAATGCCATCAGACTCCGAGAGCAGCAGCTCCCTCAGCAGTGTCGGTATGTCAGAGTTTCAGCTCCCACCCTTGACACTTTGATGCATTTGCAAAGTCACTCAAAGCAGACAGAAGGCTCAGATAAGCGGTGGTAGCGGGTGTTGGAGGGCATGGCGATTGTGTCTGGAGGCCAAGCCCTGTTCTCCTGGTTTGGTGCCAATGGAGAGAATGTGCTCTGAGGCTGACTGCTGTCCAAATGACTTGGCAGTTTCACATAGTGCTTTCTAAAGGGACCAAAACATTGCACCAGAGATACCCATAATGTCCTCTGCCTGTTGTGGTCTGATGAGGAGCAGGGTGGGTTTGAGACAGTGAAGATAATGTCACCAGAAAGCCTGTTCTCAGTCAGTTGCAAATAAATGACACTGAAGTATTCGCACAAAGCAGTTTTTCCACATCAACTTTATTAGTTTTCATATGCCTAATTTTTAAAGGGATAGTTCATGCAAAAATTTAAATTGTCATTATTTACTCAACATCCACTTCCAAACTTGTGTGAGTTTCTTTCTTCTGTTGAACACAAAATAAGATATTTTGAAGAATGTTGGTAAGCAAACAGTTGACGGCAGCCATTGACTTCCATAGTATTTTTTTTTCATACTGTGGAAATCAATGACTACCGTCGACTGTTTGCTTACCCACATACTACTTTTATTTTTGGGTGAACTATCCCTTTAAGTTTAATTTCAGAGTAAAAAAAAATGTACCTAACCTCCTAAACAAAACATTTTTTTTTTGTGTGTGTGTGTGAAGGCGTTTATAAAGATACATAATTTAGTTTGCCATGCATGTAACTTGGTATAAATAGGACTTTTTAGGAAACCATTGAGACTGTTTTGCCTCGCAAATGTAATTATTTGTTCCAAATTGAGGATTCCCACAAGCTGGAATTATCTGGGAATTTTAAAATAATGGAAAAGTTGTGTGCTCTTTATTAAGGAGTCTCATGTTAGCCTTCTCTAATAAATCCCTAGAAAGACAATGAAATGACATCTCGACTAACACTATGGTCTCTGCCATGCTTTTATCTGTAATAGAGATTATCCTCTTTGTTATTGCATAAAACTGAGTTCATTCTCTGAATATCTGCAGCAGATTGTCCAAGACCAAAGGATTATGGTGGAATTTTAGTTGCTGCTCATCCCAAAGATCATCATTTACATAAAGTGCTCAGAATGCCTGCCATTGTGACCTCAAGCATTTTCAGATTTTTTCCCGGATGATTATTTATATACCTTTTTTTTTAAGCAGTTTTTTTAGTACAGTCAAGCTTTAAAGGTCATATTTCATTTTAAGTCCTGTTTTTGTATGAGTTGTAGGTCATAGTAGCTCTGCTCTAATGCCAGTGTTGTTACGGTTACCTAAAACTATTAACTATTAGACGGAAATATTTTTTAGTTAATTTAAATAAAGCTGAAATAAAATATTAGATTAAAAACGAATCAGAAAAAAGTACTAAAGTCACTAAAACTAGAAAAAAAGAAATATAAACCTAAATATAAAAAACTAATAAATATAGTATGATATATAGTATAGTATAATATATTTATATGCAATATATAATGCATTTATGAACGTTCATAACAAAATAACTACAACTTCAACAAAAATTTAAATGAAAACTAAAAAAATGTAAAATAAAGCTAATTCAAAATATCATTAATACTATTGTAGTATATAAATACTACATTAAGACTGTCTAAAACAGACCGTCCTGATTAATCTAATTGATTCAATACTGCAAAATTCACATTACATATCAAATTACATTTCATTAAAATGGATGATTTTACCCAATATTTGCGTCTGCTACAATATGTAACTTTATTGGAATCAGTTGTGAGTTGAATCTCCTGTGAGGAGCACTATTTGTGTTCCACATGGTGTTGCTGCCTAAGTTCTCCAAATCAGTCACTTCTGAGATTTCAGCTCTAAGGCTGATACACAGGGCAACTTTTTGAGCAATTTTGCCGGGCAACTTTTTTCGAGCAATGTTGCTTGGCCACTTTCCCATTGAGAATGGGTAACAAATTTCTATCTGGATGCTTTAGATCGGTCGTGGGCGCTGTTTCTCACCTGGGTGCGCGTTGAAATGTATACCTCTGGAATACCTGATTAGTTGCAGCATTCTGAGGAATGTTATAGAGCACACCAGTCGGTTCGGAAAGTAAAAACTCTCCATAGGGAAATTGATCTGTAACAATAACAGACAGACCTATTGTGAGCTAAAAGGTTGTTAATCGATGGAATATGGTTTTGGTGAAGCCACTTGTTCAAGCAAACCAAAATGGCATTTTCACTTCCAGAACTGAGTGTTGCACTCTATTGTTGCTTTGTTCATCTTCTTGCCAGGGCCATTGTTTTGTACTCTGTGATGGATTATAAGATAATAAAGAGGTATCATCTGAAATCAATATCTCTTGCCCCCATAATTATTTATGTGGTGAAAAGCCTGTAATATGTGGTACGACTGTACCTTATCCCTTAAATGTTTGTCTAGTTTGAACTTGTTATATTTTGTGTCCACTTATTAAGTAGCTGTGTAATAATCGAGATAATGTACATCCAGCCGGTTGTTATTGCAAAATAAACTTATTCTGAGACTGACCGGATGTACATTATTCCTTTCTTATAACCTTTATATTTTAACCTTTTATATTGACGTAACTTTATATGTTATATATATATATATTATATATATTTTTACGTACTGGTAAAAAATGTATAGCCTGAATGCACTGTAAGTCGCTTTGGATAAAAGCGTCTGCTAAATGCATACATTATTATTATTAATTATTATATTATATTTTCACTGTTATGATGTGAAATTATGATGTAATTCCAAGTTTGATTGGCCAATCGAGGCAGCCGTGGCAATAGTTTTTGTGTTTTTTAGGGAATTTGTGTTGATGGTATCCCTGCATTAGTGCTGGGTGAGCTTGTCTGTGCTCCGGTGACGTGCTCACTGTTGCAGGTACCAAAGCCTCATCACCTCCACCTGCGCTCAGTGACACCCAGCCCGCCAGCGAGAGCCTGGACACCATCCTGTTCCAGCTGAGACAAGTCACCAGGGAGCGGGACGAACTTCGCAAGCGCTTGGCTCTCGCCTCACCTGGCACCACGTTTGATGACTGCAGGTACAAACCCTGAAAAAAAAATCTGTAGTTTTATTGCTATTTGTAAAGGTACATAGAATGAGTTTCGGATGCAAACATACACTACCAGTCAAAAGTTTGGAATAATTACGGAATAATAAAATGGAATAATAATATTTTTTCTCACCACGGCTGCCTGCATGTATTTAATAAAGGGATTTACTAAAAACAGTAATATGGTGAAATATTATTACAAATTAAAACAACTGTTTTCTATTTGAATATGTATTTTTTAAATGTAAAAGAAAAATTATATTTTCAATCAAATGATTAATTTTCATAATATTTCACTTACTTTTGTACTGTATATTTGATTAAATGAACGCAGCCTTGGTAAGCATAAGAGACTTATCAAAATCATTTGAAAAAATCTTTATTATTCGAAACATTTGGCCAGTAGTGTCTCTGTTATCCCAGTTAACATTGGGCCACCCTTGCAGACTGAGAGACACCGTGCTGATGTATTGCTCTTTGTCTCCAAAAGGCCAAATTCCAAACCTGGTCATGACTACGAGCGTCTGAAAACGCAGTGCATGAAGGCCATGACAGACCTGCAGTCCTTGCAGAACCAGCACACCAAGACTCTGAAGAGGTGCGAGGAAGCCGTGAAGGAAGCAGACTACTACCAGTGAGTACAGGCGCCACGCGTCTCTCTCTAACAGAGATGCTAAGAGTCATCTGCTGCATTTGTAGCAGTCTTCAATTAGCAATTGCATTATCTACAGGTTAATTATGGCTTTATTAAATGTTTGAAGCACTTTGGTCTGCAGCTCAATTCATATTAAAGGGGTCATATGATGCAATGTCAAGCTTTGGAGTGTTATAAGCTGTTTGTGAATAGATAAGATCCCTAAAGTTGCAAAGACTAAAGTCTCAAACCCAAAGAGATATTCTTTATAAAAGTTAATACTGGTTCACGCCCTCCTAAAACGGCTCGTTCTAACACGCCCCCACATATCTACGTCACGATGTGGGAAGATTTGCATAACGCTGCCCAAATGTTCACGCAAAGAAAGAAGGCGTGACTTTATTGATGCTGCTCCCGCCGCCGCCATGTTGTGAAGACGCTGTGTGTTTTGTTGCGAAACTGAAAATACTTTTTGGCCTTCCAAAAGAGGACACGACTAGAAATCAGTGGGTAAGTTGTATTTACAACACTATTCCAGAACAGTTCAACCCAAATATCCAGATGTGCAGCACATTTTATGGAGGACTGTTTCCTGATCCTGGTAGAGTAGACTACAATGCCAGGTGTTCTGACTCACAGACTGTAAGTACGTTTTCATATTTAAAGAATTTGCCACTGATGATTCAAACGCGAGTTTTGATCAGTGTAGAGTAGCGCTTGTTGTTTGTCATTTCTCCGATCACAAATGCAGGTATGGTTTTGTTTACGCGGCGCGATGCAACGCAATGGCTAAAATGACAGTCATTATAAGTCATTATATCGTTTCAGAAAGGCGGGGCATAGAGGAGAAACAATAATGTACAGTATGTGAAAAATAATGTGTTTTTTTAACCTTAAACCACATAAGCACATTTCATTACACCAAATACATAAAATAATGTTCTTTTTAGCAACATCATATGACTCTTTTAATGTGCGTAATGCATTTTTAGTAATGCAGTTTTAGTGTTATCTAGAGGAATAGTTCACCCAAAGAGTTATTTAATCATCCACCTCAAATTACAATTATAATTACAACCACAATTTTAATTAAATTCAATTAAATAATACAAATAAATAAAATAATCAAATTGAAATAAAATGTATTTATTCAAATTAAAATAAAAAGTAATAAATAAATTACAATGTGAAAATTAACTCTTTCCCGTCAGCGTTTTGCCTCCTACCTTAAAACAGTGAAGAGACAGAAAGCCGGAAAATTCTTTCAATGGTGGTGAAAGAGTTACTTCAGGAACTTACAATTCTGTCATCATTTACTCACCCTCATGTCACCCTGCAAAACATATTTTTAAGTAATTTGTTTTCTGTTTTGCTGATTTTGCCCATGCAGTGAAAGTCAATGGGGTCCAAAACAACGCAACTAAAAAAAGAGACATTTTTAGAATATCTTCTTTTGTGTTCCACAGAAAAACGTAAAACCGTGACAGGTTTGGATGGCGAGTAGATGATGACCGAATTCATTTTTTGTGTGAACTATCCCTTCAGTGTCTTTCTATAAAAATCCTTATAGAAAAAATAAACAAGTCACAAGGAAATACTTATAAAAGTGCTTTGTCATATGTCATCAGTTTAACGGACATTGGTTTAATGTAGCCTCGTTATCTAAACCAGTTGGAAATATGTAAGCGTGTACACAAAGTTTGTTCTGCTCTGTTGTCTCTGATTCACCCTTGTTTGCCAGTGTGCTGTCATCCACACACCACATGATATCGTCCATCCATACACAGATGTACAGTGGCTGTAATCTGATTATGATGTAAGGACACATGCCCTCCTGTCCCCATCTCTGCTGGGCACAAACGACCACATAGAGATGAAGATTGAGTTGACGAGGGATTAATCCTATATTCCCCATTCCCTCAACAGTGTGTCATTACAGCACACACACATACACAACCATTCTCTGTCATGCTGCTTGCATGTTACTGATGTCTCGAGAACGGACACATTCATGCAGTTTGAGCCTCCTTGTCTGCTGGAAGTGTCTACACTGAAATGGAACTGATTTGAAGCACTGCACATGAGCAGAAAGTCTGTGTATCATATAAATGACACTTCTCACACACAGAGACAACTCATAATTGATATCCGTAAAGGTGCATAGTTAGCATGCAGCTTAGCTAATAATGTTATAATACATTTTAGATGGTATCTTAATAATTTGGCCAAAAACAAAGTATTTTTGAAATAGCAGTGTACTCCATCAAACAGCTGAGAATTTTTTTTTATTTTATTTCCTAATAAGCATAACATACTTAATATGAAGCAATAAATGCTGAAAATTTTATTTAATTTGGTTTTATACACTAAGCATAAAATACAAAACACACTCTAATATTGGGTACAGTAGTTAATTTTAATTACATATTACATTATTTCATTATATTCATAATTGATTTTTTGTTATGTCCAAGATTGCACTCTCTGTGAAGGGTATGTATGATGCTATCTAAGAATTTTTTTTTCAATTATTTTTATTTTTACTCTAAGCATAAAATACAAGTCAATGGGGTCCAAAACAACGCAACTAAAAAAAGAGACATTTTTAGAATATCTTCTTTTGTGTTCCACAGAAAAACGAAAAACCATGACAGGTTTGGATGGCGAGTAGATGATGACCGAATTCATTTTTTGTGTGAACTATCCCTTCAGTGTCTTTCTATAAAAATCCTTATAGAAAAAATAAACAAGTCACAAGGAAATACTTATAAAAGTGCTTTATCATATGTCATCAGTTTAACGGACATTGGTTTAATGTAGCCTCGTTATCTAAACCAGTTGGAAATATGTAAGCGTGTACACAAAGTTTGTTCTGCTCTGTTGTCTCTGATTCACCCTTGTTTGCCAGTGTGCTGTCATCCACACACCACATGATATCGTCCATCCATACACAGATGTACAGTGGCTGTAATCTGATTATGATGTAAGGACACATGCCCTCCTGTCCCCATCTCTGCTGGGCACAAACGACCACATAGAGATGAAGATTGAGTTGACGAGGGATTAATCCTATATTCCCCATTCCCTCAACAGTGTGTCATTACAGCACACACACATACACAACCATTCTCTGTCATGCTGCTTGCATGTTACTGATGTCTCGAGAACGGACACATTCATGCAGTTTGAGCCTCCTTGTCTGCTGGAAGTGTCTACACTGAAATGGAACTGATTTGAAGCACTGCACATGAGCAGAAAGTCTGTGTATCATATAAATGACACTTCTCACACACAGAGACAACTCATAATTGATATCCGTAAAGGTGCATAGTTAGCATGCAGCTTAGCTAATAATGTTATAATACATTTTAGATGGTATCTTAATAATTTGGCCAAAAACAAAGTATTTTTGAAATAGCAGTGTACTCCATCAAACAGCTGAGAATTTTTTATTTTATTTTATTTCCTAATAAGCATAACATACTTAATATGAAGCAATAAATGCTGAAAATTTTATTTAATTTGGTTTTATACTCTAAGCATAAAATACAAAACACACTCTAATATTGGGTACAGTAGTTAATTTTAATTACATATTACATTATTTCATTATATTCATAATTGAATTTTTGTTATGTCCAAGATTGCACTCTCTGTGAAGGGTATGTATGATGCTATCTAAGAATTTTTTTTCCCAATTATTTTTATTTTTACTCTAAGCATAAAATACACAGTAATAGTGTGGTTTTTTTACTGCTGAATGCAGTGTTGTGAATTTGTGTGTAAGTGCAGTGACAGCATTTTGCATGCAAGTACTGGAGGATGTTTTATAGACTCATGATTGCCCTCTGGTGTTTGCATTTGTAAAACTTGAATTCAAGTGATAAAAGCTAATTTATAACAGACAATATATTTAGGCATATGAGCACACATCAGTTGAATTCTACATGAATGCACCAACCTTGCGCATTTACAATATCTTTGTTACTGGCCAATATAGTAATAAGAACAAAAGGCACTGTAAACCATTTTAGTACAAATAAGTAGTGTCAAAAGGCTAAACTTTTGTTTTGTTTTGTTTCTTTGTCACCATGCAATAAATCAGGTTTGTTACAGCTGTTTGTCACAGGTAATCAGGTTTTGTTTTGTTTTTGTCTTTTGTTTTGTTTCATTTTGTTTCCACCACACAGTAAATCAGGTTCTTTAAAGCTGTGTTCAACACAGGTAATCATGGTTTTGTTTTTGGCTTTGTTTTTGACAGGTTAATAGTTTTGTTTTTTGTTTTGTTTCTTGTTTCTTTGACATGGCACATAAATCAGGTTTGTTGTTTAAAACCTGCTGTTTTAAACACAGGTAATCAGGTTTTGTTTTGTTTTTGTCTTTTGTTTTGTTTCATTTTGTTTCCACCACACAGTAAATCAGGTTCTTTAAAGCTGTGTTCAACACAGGTAATCATGGTTTTGTTTTTGGCTTTGTTTTTGACAGGTTAATAGTTTTGTTTTTTGTTTTGTTTCTTGTTTCTTTGACATGACATAGTAAATCAGGTTCATGAAAGCCTTTTTCGACAGGTCATTGGGGCCTTGGTTTATGTTTTAAAAAAATAAATTATTTCTTAGACACCACACAGTAGATCAGTTTCATGAAATGGGTTTTCGACAGGTTATCGGGTTTTGTTTTTTGTTTTTTTGTTTGTTTGTTTCTTTGACACCTCACAGGAAAATCAGGTTCATGAAAGCTTTTTTCGATACAGGTAATCAGGGAGAACGGGTCATCAGAGGTTTTGAACAAGCTCTATGACACAGCGATGGATAAGCTGGAGGGGGTGAAGAAGGAATACGACGTCTTGAGCAAACGATACAGTGAGAAGGTGACCAGTCACAACACAGATCTGAGTCGACTAGAGCAGGTGGAGGAGGAGAACAGGCGCTTGCAAAAACAAATAGACGCTCTGCTTAAACAGCGGGACACAGCCATCCAGTACCAACAGCAGTGGTCTACATCAATGAGACGGTACGAGCAGCATCAGTTGTCTTTATTATGTGGTTTAAGTGTTGCGTAACACTCTTCAAGTAAAATTAAAGGTTGTACAACATGTCAACAACTTTTTAACACTACAGTCACATCAAACACAATCTGCAGCCTCGTTTTTTGCATTTTCTGCTCTGAATTTGAGGCAAAAAGAGCTGAAAGCATAATCAAATTTGCCTAAATATTTAGTTGTGAATGACATGCATTACATAAATGAAATATATTATTGTCATACATTTTATGTAGGATGCATACATTGTTTATATCCTTCACATTACGGTCCTGACTTCTGATTGGTCAGTACAGTCAATTGCCAATCTTTTAATTCAGTTCACTAATGAACATTGATGCCCCCACTAAATTAATTACAAGAAGTCCTTTTTAATAATGAAAAAGTCAAAATAATTACTAATTAATTGACATTTTTGATTTGAAACCCATCAGTTTTGACTCGGTGCAGCAGGAGCTGAATAAAGCCTCAGCCCAAAACAAGGAGCTGCAGAGAGAGATGGAGAGACTCCAGTCGGAGGTGACGCGCTACAAGAACTTCCAGCTGAAGGCGGTCAAGGATGCAGAGAAATACAAGGAGGAGCGGGATTCTGTGTTTAATGAATACAGGCTGATCATGAGCGAGAGGGACCAGGTCATTAAAGAGGTGGACAAGCTGCAGACGGAGCTGGAGGCGGCGGAGGCCCGGCTCAAAAACACCTCCTCTGAGAGAATGGTGGCTAGTGAGGAGCTGGAAGCTCTCAGACAGGTAACACATCCCTAATAACAGATATCAGACATCTATGCAGCATTGTTGCTCTGATCTTTATGGTCAGCGGTCATTTGGGGAAACTCACTGTATCACTGCCTAAACACAGTATTTAAGATTAAGGTGTGACTGAGCCTTGTTTTTATATGCTTTCTGTTCTGTAAATCAGCTTTTTGTTGGCAAGTTAGTGCTAGGCAGCCAGTGAATAACATGCTGTTTTGAAAAAGCACTTTAAATCAATAGCGTATAACTGTCGCTGGCGTCTGTGTCTTTTTGTAGGAGCTAAATTCATCGCTGGTGGATCGAGACCGTGCCATCTGTGAGAGAAACGAGCTGCTGGAAAAATACTGCCATGAAGTGAAGGACAAAGCGGAGGCCCAGAAAGAGCTGAGTCAGGCCTGTAAAGACATCGAGACTGTGCGGGAGGAAAGAGATGTGGCCAGGAAAGAGAGAACCGAAGCCATCATCCAGAGAGACCAGTTACTGCGGGAATACTACCAGGCCAGACAGGTGCTTACAATCTAGGATTCAATATATGCATTATGACATTATTAAAAACCATTTCATATTCTAATGCTGCATCAAATCTTCTATGGAAAATCTTCTGTGGTAAACACAGGGAATTTTCCAGGCCTGGTAAAATAATATATGGAATTGAGACAAGTAATGGAAATGTTTATTGTAAAGTAATTTATTTCGAGTTATGCCTTTCTGCTCAGTGCCTTAATGTTTCAACAGTGAGAAATTGCCCTTTTTGAGTGCAACCTCTAAGAGATGATCTTGCCACCTTTATCTCTAATACATGAAAATGTCATGAAGATTCTTTGTTTAAATAGAATAAGAACCTGCACCCTGCAAAGCTAATTTGACAGTATCTGTCTGGATTGTGGAGAAAATGCTCAATAATTGTGTATCTTCAAATAGACGCATCTGACAATAACTATGTGCTGCATCTGCTCATTTATCGGGTTGTTAAGGTTTACAAGTCATTTCACTTTATCTCGTCAATGCTGTTAGTTAAGGAAAGTGAATTTAACATTACTAATGCAAGAGCTTAAAATTCTTGTCGACTACGTTGCACTGGGAAAATGAAAGGGTCTAAACAGATAGAACAAACAATGATAAAGATTGAAAAGTGTAATGGCTAGAAGTCATGGAAGTTTAAAAATCATGAATATTCACACTAAATCTTCAGATTCAACATTTCTAATGAAGTTTCGCTGTTTTTACAGAAATATTGAAGCAGCACAACTGTTTACAACATTGATAAATGTTTTTTGAGCATGAAAATCAGCATATTAGAATGATTTCTGAAGTATCGTGACACTGAAGACTGGAGTAATGATGCTAGAAATTTAGCTTTGCATCACAGGAATAAATTCCATTTTAAAATATATTCAAATAGAAAACGGTTATTTTAAATTGCAATATTTCACAGTATTACTGTTTTTACTTTATTTTTGATCAAATAAATACAGCCTTGGTCGACATGAGAGACTTTAAAAACATAAAAAATCTTGCCGACCCCAAACTTTTGAACTGTAGTGCATATCACTACAACACCCTTGTTTTTAACTCTTTAAATATAAATAATAGCTTTTTAATAGATTATGCATTGCATTCAGAGTACCGTGACACGACAATGTGTGTGCATCTGCTTTACCATGGCTCAAAAGTAATATTTTTGTTGTATTTTACCAGTTTTATTCAGTTTTTATCTGAGATATTTATCAGCTGCTGTTCTTATCTGCTGTTCGTTGAGCAGAAATGTCTAAAGAGCCATTGGTGAGATGAATCGTGAGTCAGATCTCAAAGCATTCTATTCTCACCTTTTGTCCCTGCCTGTCACACCAGTCTTCACACACAAACAAACACAACAAACCACAAAGCTCATAAAAATCTCATAAACTGTGAGCCATTGGATTATTCCAGTCAGTTTGAAGCCGCAGTGAGTCCACTAGAGGTCTCTAACAGCTCTAGAGTAGCCGTAAGACTGAAGGTGAAATTCATTTAACTCATTTCACTAGTATGTCTTCACAGATGTCTTAATTTATGCCTTAAAACACATTTTGGTGAAGAAGTCATCTGCAGTCATATTCATCATGAATGTTTTTGCTACAGAAACAAGACTCGGCCACTCTGGATATGGAGCGTGCCAATAAGGAGATTGACGTGTTGAGGAAACAGTGTGAGGCCATGTCCCAGGAGCTGAAGGAGGCTGTTCAGGAGGCCGAGGTGGCCAAGTGTCGCAGAGACTGGGCCTTTCAAGAAAGAGACAAGATTGTTGCTGAGCGAGAGAGCATACGGTAACATTTGCCACTGAATTAATCAGTCTAGGAATTTAATGATATGCAACTGCTGATGCTGATGCTGATGCTTGAGCATGTCTTTGTTGTGTTTTGGCAGGACTTTGTGTGATAACCTGCGCAGAGAGAGAGACCGTGCCGTCAGCGATCTGGCTGATGCCCTGCGTAACCTTGACGACATGAGGAAACAGCGGAACGATGCAGCCAGGGAACTTAAAGAGCTCAAGTAAACACTTTTTTAGTCTTTTAGTCAGCTGTTTACAGATAGTATGGTGTATTAAATTAAATTTACAACTGACCTCTTGTAAATGTTACGCAAATACAGGGTTCTAAATTTTATTCTCACAAAGTTCTGAACAATCCGAAGTCCCAAAATAACTTTATAGGTTTTTAGAATTCAATGTTATGTGGGAATGAAATTTAAATAGAAATGTAAGAATTTTACATTATGGAATGTTCATTGTCATTTTTCCAAGTTTGTAGCCATAATAACTTGTAAATACAAATAATAATAATAATAAATGAAGCAATAATGTATAAAACATAGTAACGTAATAAATTAAATTCACTTTGGCATGTTTATATTTGGCGATAATATCTTATAAATGCAAGTAATAATACTGAATACATGGATGATTGAATGGTAACCTTGACGACATGAGGAAACAGCGGAACGATGCAGCCAGGGAACTTAAAGAGCTCAAGTAAACACTTTTTTAGTCTTTTAGTCAGCTGTTTACAGATAGTATGGTGTATTAAATTAAATTTACAACTGACCTCTTGTAAATGTTACGCAAATACAGGGTTCTAAATTTTATTCTCACAAAGTTCTGAACAATCCGAAGTCCCAAAATAACTTTATAGGTTTTTAGAATTCAATGTTATGTGGGAATGAAATTTAAATAGAAATGTAAGAATTTTACATTATGGAATGTTCATTGTCATTTTTCCAAGTTTGTAGCCATAATAACTTGTAAATACAAATAATAATAATAAATGAGGCAATAATGTATAAAACATAGTAACGTAATAAATTAAATTCACTTTGGCATGTTTATATTTGGCGATAATATCTTATAAATGCAAGTAATAGTACTGAATACATGGATGATTGAATTAATTCTTGCTTCAGATGCCCCCTAGTGGTTAGTCCATTCCCATCAAAACTCCAGAGCACCCCCACCCTCTTGCAGTAGACTTTTCTCAAGTTTTTTATGTCACTGATGCCCTCCAGGCTTTCCTCTCTCTGAGTCTATGAATCTTAGTGACAGTTTGCCAGTATTCCCCAACTACTTGATCCTGTTTTTTTTTCTACCCAAATTTAAGGTTTGACCTTGATGCCGCTTTTATAACATCTCCATCTAGCACAGGTGTTACAGATTACACAAACTGTGGCAAAAGATGCCCTGATGCCAACCCATATCATCCAGAAGGCTTGTAAAACAGAGGTTATCCCAGTCTTGCATCAGCAGCTCTTCGAACAAAGAGAGATGGTCTTCACAAAGACTGTTGACACTTGACATTCTTGCTGTTTTGTGTTGGGTTTTGTGGGCGTGAGATGAATTAGATGACTGTTTGGAGAGATGAGAGAGAAAAATGGTCCATCTTGTTTTGTGCTCTCTCTACCAATAAAGGGAGAAGATGGAGAGCCAGTTGGAGAAGGAGGCACGTTTTTGCCAGCTAATGGCTCACAGCCATGTCCCAGGAGCTGAAGGAGGCTGTTCAGGAGGCCGAGGTGGCCAAGTGTCGCAGAGACTGGGCCTTTCAAGAAAGAGACAAGATTGTTGCTGAGCGAGAGAGCATACGGTAACATTTGCCACTGAATTAATCAGTCTAGGAATTTAATGATATGCAACTGCTGATGCTGATGCTGATGCTTGAGCATGTCTTTGTTGTGTTTTGGCAGGACTTTGTGTGATAACCTGCGCAGAGAGAGAGACCGTGCCGTCAGCGATCTGGCTGATGCCCTGCGTAACCTTGACGACATGAGGAAACAGCGGAACGATGCAGCCAGGGAACTTAAAGAGCTCAAGTAAACACTTTTTTAGTCTTTTAGTCAGCTGTTTACAGATAGTATGGTGTATTAAATTAAATTTACAACTGACCTCTTGTAAATGTTACGCAAATACAGGGTTCTAAATTTTATTCTCACAAAGTTCTGAACAATCCGAAGTCCCAAAATAACTTTATAGGTTTTTAGAATTCAATGTTATGTGGGAATGAAATTTAAATAGAAATGTAAGAATTTTACATTATGGAATGTTCATTGTCATTTTTCCAAGTTTGTAGCCATAATAACTTGTAAATACAAATAATAATAATAATAAATGAAGCAATAATGTATAAAACATAGTAACGTAATAAATTAAATTCACTTTGGCATGTTTATATTTGGCGATAATATCTTATAAATGCAAGTAATAATACTGAATACATGGATGATTGAATGAATTCTTGCTTCAGATGCCCCCTAGTGGTTAGTCCATTCCCATCAAAACTCCAGAGCACCCCCACCCTCTTGCAGTAGACTTTTCTCAAGTTTTTTATGTCACTGATGCCCTCCAGGCTTTCCTCTCTCTGAGTCTATGAATCTTAGTGACAGTTTGCCAGTATTCCCCAACTACTTGATCCTGTTTTTTTTTCTACCCAAATTTAAGGTTTGACCTTGATGCCGCTTTTATAACATCTCCATCTAGCACAGGTGTTACAGATTACACAAACTGCGGCAAAAGATGCCCTGATGCCAACCCATATCATCCAGAAGGCTTGTAAAACAGAGGTTATCCCAGTCTTGCATCAGCAGCTCTTCGAACAAAGAGAGATGGTCTTCACAAAGACTGTTGACACTTGACATTCTTGCTGTTTTGTGTTGGGTTTTGTGGGCGTGAGATGAATTAGATGACTGTTTGGAGAGATGAGAGAGAAAAATGGTCCATCTTGTTTTGTGCTCTCTCTACCAATAAAGGGAGAAGATGGAGAGCCAGTTGGAGAAGGAGGCACGTTTTTGCCAGCTAATGGCTCACAGCTCCCATGATTCAGCCATAGACACAGACTCATTAGAATGGGAGACAGAGGTGGTGGAGTTTGAGAAGGATCGGGTAAGAATATAAAACTCCAAAGCAGTACAGCTAATAGTCATGAGGAAAAATATATTGATCTTACAGGTGTGGGAAATATCTGGGAATATTTATATGAATGTTTTCAGGCTTGGAAAAGTATTCTGCATGTGCATATTTTAACGTGACGTGACATGTGGCCAAGTATGGTAACCCATACTCGGAATTAGTGCTCTGCATTTATCCCATCCAAAGTGCAAACACACAACGTGAACACGCATCCGGAGCAGTGGGCAGCCCGGGGAGTAGTTGGGGGTTCGGTGCCTTGCTCAAGGGCACCTCAGTCATGGTATTGAAGGTGGGAGAGAGCGCTGTACATTCACTCCCCCCCACCTACAATCCCTGCCGGTACAAGAAATTTATATCAATATCATCCTCAGTATTTTTGTCTTGTTTTCCAATACAAATATTTAAACATCCTTAAGTCAAGATATATTTACTAGAGTTGCAAATTGAAGAAATGAAGTCTTGTTTTCTGACAAACTGAACAAAACTGAGTTGGTTTAAAACAAGAACAAATATCTTGCATTGGGGTATGAAAACTTGTTTTCCCTTTGAATTGAATACATGTTTTTCTGAGCCCATTGGCAAATATTTGTTATTTTTTAATGATAAACTCACATCATTTAAATCAATTTCTAAAATAAAAAAAAAAAAAACAAGACTTGGGTTTTTTTGTGTTGTTGGTAGTTTTGCTTCTCAAGTAAATGTATCTTGCTTGAAAAATCTTTGGACATTTGCACTAGAAAACCAGCCAAAATTACTGAGGAAAAACATCACTTTTTTGCAATTTCAACAGAAGGTACAGTAAAAGTTGTATTTATATTGTAGTGGTAGGGAGTAAAGCTATTCAAGCAACAGTAATGGAGATGTGTTAGAATTAAGCAACACATTGTGTTCCTTAAATTTTCTTTACTTGTTCTTAAAAAGGTCTTGAAGTCTTAAATTTACCTTCGTGGTTCCAGGATGCTCATTCACAACATTTGACCTTTGAGCTTGTTTTTCTAATTGTCTACTTCCACTTGAAAAGGTCTCATCAGTCTGTCCATCATTATCTTCCCAACAGGATGACATGGATTTGAAGGCAATGGGGTTTGATATCGCAGAGGGGGTGAATGATCCATATTTACCAGGGGATTGTGGGATATTTGTGACTCGAGTGGACAAAGGAAGTATCGCGGATGGAAGATTGAGGTGGATTCCGATATTGAGTGTTTTTCAGATAATGGCCTCTGGAATGATTTCGTGCTCATTTCCCTGCTCATAGTTTTGCCCTGACCAGCAGTGCCTCTCTCTCAATAGGGTGAATGATTGGCTGCTGAAGATAAATGATGTGGACCTGACTAACAAAGACAGGAAGCAGGTCATCAAAGCCGTACTTAATGGAGGAGGGCTGATCAATATGGTCGTTCGCAGGAGGAAATCATTAGGAGGAAGACTGGTTACTCCTGTCCACATTAATCTCATCGGACACAAAGGTATCACTTACTTCTGCAACATCCCACATATTTTTCTGACTAATTTGACCATTTCTGTGGCTAATTTCCCTTGTTTTCTTATTAATGACCCTTGGTTTTTTTCTGCACCTTCTCAGACGCTGGTATCAATCTTGAGGGTGGTGTATACGTGGCTGCTATCGCACCGGGCAGCCCAGCTGCCAGAGAGGGATCTCTTACCATCGGAGACCGCCTGATTGCCGTAAGTCATCAAGCAGTCATGCAATCCTTCCTCAAATTGAAGGAAGATCGCTGCGGTCAAGGATCCGATTTGCTCTTATACAAGTCTGACCTTACCTCTCATTACAATCTCCTAAATGAAGCAGATTTTGAATCCAGTTCCTTATCTTAAATGCATGGGGGCTCATTAGACGCACTGCCAATCAAATCCACTCCTCTCCTTAAATGGAGTTGAGGAGTATAAGACAGGTGATGTGCTAAGCGATAGCTGCTACTCTGGTGATAATCTCAGATTTCTTCTACAGAATATCTAACATGGAGTCGAAAGTAACACCTGATCCGCTCTCAGGATTAACGTCGGTGTTACTTTCGACTCCATGTTAGATATTCTGTAGAAGAAATCTGGAACCTTTTGGCTCTGATATTGCCCATGTCATATGACTTAATCAGTAGTGCTACATCTGCTGGTTCTGATCATTAAAGGCATAGTTCAGTCAAAAAAAAGAAAGAAAATTCTTTCATTTGATTGAATTACTTGCTCAATTTGAATTACTTGAAGTTGAAGAATGACTTCCATATAATGAAAGTAAATGGGGACTAAGACTTATGAACTTCAAAATGACAAAAACACCAATAGGAGCATCATGAAAGTCTTCTGAAGCCATATGATAGCTTAATGTGAGAAACAGACCAATGTTGCTTTTCAGTGTTAGTTTAATTCAATTAGCTTTTATTTTTGTTTTCAGTTTGCTTTTTAATTTCATTTTTAGTCATTTCTAAACCGTTTTAATGGATTTTTATTTCAGTTTTTGCTTGTTTCATTCAGTAATGTTATTACTTAAGCTTAAACATATTTCATTTAGTAGCCAAGCATTTTCAAATTTTCTTTTAGTTTGTTTTTCATCTAATATTCATATTTTATTTTCAGCTTTTTTTCAATTAAGAAGAATGTTTTTTTTAAATAGTTTTAGTCAACAGTAACAAAACTGGAACAGACTCAAATTTAGGGTTTATAGACTACTAAATCACATAAATGGCAATTGAAATGGGACCATTTGGTCCTTGTGTGTCATTGCCATCAAACCTGATGTCTAATATCACCATATTTGTTTTGAGATCTATTTTCAGTAGTTTGGGCTGTTCCTCTTATGAAACTATTGTATGAATTGAAAAGACTTGACACTGTATGGACCACTTTTTTTGACGTTTTAAAATTGTCGAGTCTCCTTTTAGTTTCATTAAATGGCCGGTACGATTCTTCACTGTCTTGAGGGTGAAGTAAACCTTGACAGAATATATTTCTAAGTGAACTATTTCTTTACGTTTAAAAAGATGGAAGGATTTATCTGAACTGGAGATATTAAAAGTGCGCCATCCTTTCATTCACCAGGCATCTCTTTGTCTCTATTCTCAAGTTTCCGAAGTCATTTCTGGGTTCGAAAATAGAAGGATTGAAAAGTCTGCTGGCACTTTTCTTTGGTGAAGCGCTGACCTAAATTTCTCTCTCCCTAGATAAATGGGATTGCTCTGGATAACAAATCACTGAGTGAATGTGAGGCTCTGCTGAGGGGTGGCAGGGACTCGCTTGCTCTCTCCCTCATGAAGGTGATTGTTCTCTCATTGCTGTCTGAGTGTGTGTGCCGCTCTCATTACCACATGCCAAGGTGCTGCCGTGACATTTATTCTAAGGCGTATTTGAGACAGCTGTGTCTGAGTTGGAATACCAACTCTGAGACGTTACTAAGGAAGTCAAGTTTGGAAAATTGGTTAGTTTGTAGTTGTTCTGCAATACATTTTCAGCAATCAGCTGAGCCTTTGCTAAGAAGCTCTGTAAATCTTTGCTTTCTTAAGCTAACTAACCATAACTTTTGTGTTTGAATGGTTTTAAACAGATTTGTTTCCTTTTTTTATATATAATGATAATTTCTCAATAATAGTTACACAAGGTACTCTGAAATCATAAACACAGCATTTTATAACTTTAAATAACGTTGTGGATTTCCAAATGCCCTCATTCAAAAATAAAAATGAAGAGCATGAAGTGGGGTGGAGCTTAGCAAAAAGTATTTTTTTTTGGGTGGCAGGGACTCGCTTGCTCTCTCCCTCATGAAGGTGATTGTTCTCTCATTGCTGTCTGAGTGTGTGTGCCGCTCTCATTACCACATGCCAAGGTGCTGCCGTGACATTTATTCTAAGGCGTATTTGAGACAGCTGTGTCTGAGTTGGAATACCAACTCTGAGACGTTACTAAGGAAGTCAAGTTTGGAAAATTGGTTAGTTTGTAGTTGTTCTGCAATACATTTTCAGCAATCAGCTGAGCCTTTGCTAAGAAGCTCTGTAAATCTTTGCTTTCTTAAGCTAACTAACCATAACTTTTGTGTTTGAATGGTTTTAAACAGATTTGTTTCCTTTTTTTATATATAATGATAATTTCTCAATAATAGTTACACAAGGTACTCTGAAATCATAAACACAGCATTTTATAACTTTAAAGAACGTTGTGGATTTCCAAATGCCCTCATTCAAAAATAAAAATGAAGAGCATGAAGTGGGGTGGAGCTTAGCAAAAAGTATTTTTTTTAAAAAGTGGATTAAATTAACCCTAAGAGGCCTGTTGCATGAAGCTAGTTGAACAAACTGAGTTTCGGAGTAGCTTTAGAGTTGACAGCTGAAAGAAAATATCTGACTCTAATAAAAGTGAATCAACTAAATTAAATTAAGAACTTAAATACGTTTACAAATTGCCTAAAAGAAAACAATTCAGGAATTGAAGATAAAAATTGAATATCAGTTGTCAAATTATAATTGCTTACATGTAATGCGTTAAGTACATGTGAAATATTATTAATAATTAGTGAAAGCATATCAATCATATCTAAAATGCTTTCACTGTGAAGTATTTTAATTTGGAACAAGTGTTACGGGGAGAGTGACTTATTTCATCAAATAAATGACCACTAAAAACCAATCCATCTTCAAGCTGAAAAACAGTTTACGCAAACTAAACTCTGCACTTACCTTGGTAGCCACTGAAACCGGCTTCATGAAATAGCCCACTGTAACGGTAGTTTATGTACCTCTGAGTGTTTGTTTTATTGATGTTGTGTTGTTTTATTTATGCCAGTCATGCTGAACCTGTACATTAACAGTTTTTTCCCCAGAGCACATCGGGGCAGAACATCTTTGAAAGCCTGAGGGAGGCCGAGAAATCCAACGGCAGAATCCACCTATCGGATATCCATTCACGAAACATCAGAAACCTCAAACACAACAGCTCCACTCAGACGGACATTTACAGTGGGGACACGGGCGGTGAGAGACGAAAGACCAGGACCGACTTGGAGGAGAGCGGTTATTCTGAGAGAAAGGTCTTCCCGATCTCCACCTTGCACCCTAACACTCTCCGACCCGCTTCAGAGCTGGGACCGGCCCGCTACAGCGGCAGTGCCTTTCAGGAGGTCTGCTATACCCGCTCAGAGTCAGTCGGCCCTGAATGCGTTACCCTGGAAACCAGCTTGGAGAAGCAACACAGTGGCGGCACTTGGCCTAAAATGATGGTGGGTGTTGCCATGACAACCGACAGCCTGGCGCAACTCTCCATCTACAGGTCGCCCAAGCAAAGAAAGCCCATTGATGCAGACACCTTCAAAAGGCCAGATATGTTGTCGAAGACAGACTACCATTCGCCTCAACCTTTGAAAGCAGACTCCGCCCCCACACCCCCGACCCCGCCCACACGTAACGACTCCTTCAGGTTCAAGCACAAACATCAGGGCAGCTCCGCCTCAGAGTCCACCATCACCACCATGTCTGTCCACGAACCCAAGCAGGAGGACCGCAACGGCAACCTGTACTTCACCGAGGCAGGGCGTGAGGGCATGGTCTTGAGCTCCAGGAAGTCCTGCGAGGAGGACATCGGTCGGATGCGGCCGGAGGAACCGGAAGTGAAGCGTCCTAGGCCCAAATCGGCCCCGGCGCTCAGGCGCAGGATGACTCCTCAGACCATTCCTCTCCAGAGCTTCCAGGTGAATTTATAGATCCGCTGGGCTTGACACAGCCAGCCGTCCTGCCTGTTTTAATTAGCCTCGCAGCCGGAGATTGATCTCCCACTGCACCGGGAGGAAAGAGAGAGGGGGAGAGAACATTAGAAATGCTGATGCACGCCTCCTGATGAAATGTAGAAGATTAGCATAGCGCTATTTTATTAGTGTGAATGTTCTATTATATTAATTTTATAATTATAGTTATACAATCTAGTATTATTCATGTATACATTATATTATTTGCTATATTACTAAAGTATATATTTTAATATGATACATATTGTCTTAATATGATATGTGTTAAGTTATTATTATTATTATTTAGATTTATTCATTGTCATATTTAATTCATTTTCATATATTAATATCCGTTTTAAATAAATATTTGAATTGCCTAGTAACATAAATGCCAAACTGAAACTGAAGTTTCTTAAAGACTGTAGCAGTTGCCCATATGAAACACTGAGACGAAGATATTTGATAGATCAAAGATTTTAAACCTCAGTAGCAAAGATGAAAATATTCTAAATTAATTTAAACTGTTCAATGAATCACTTTGGCGATTAGTTAATGGAATTCAAAAGTGATTCAGAATATGATTTATCACTTCAAAGTATTCATATTCTTTACGTGGAATTGTACATGCTTCAGAAGTTTGGGATTTATTAAAAATGTATGCCAAAACATAATGGTAATTTTTGTAATACTAATAATAATAATATTATTTTTGTTTTTTAAAACAAGTCTCTTATGTTCACCAAGACATTTATCTGATTAAAAAATACACTATATACTGTATATATATATTTGAATGGTAGTGTAAATGACAACTTTTAAAATATCATTCTTCCTTGTAGTTAAAAAAAAAACAATGTGTCGTGATTCTTTAGATTTTTTTTTTTAACTGTGCTACATGTTAAATATTTCAAATAAATTTGGTACAGTGATCAAAAGTATAGTTTAACCATTTTCAGAGGAAATTCATAAAGATTTTGTATATCATTTGAAGAATGAAAAATCATTCTACCAGTTATTACAGAACTGCGTGCTGCATTATCTAATGCTGTGCGTGCATGTGTTTGGCAGAGTTATTCAAATGATGGTGACTCTGTGGAGCAGAGGGAGATGCTGTGTTCCTCTCCTAATCGACCTCACAGACACAGCGTGGGTTTTGTGCCTACAGCCTATAATGGAACCCTGCCTCCCAGTGAGTTAAACCCGCCCTAATCAGAGCCCGAGTGGCCCATGGTGCATTTCAATGTATCTCTTTAACAACACTCTCCCTACTCTCTCTCTCTGTCTGCATTTGCTCTGAGGAGCACAGTTCATCTTTATTCCGATCAAGGCTGCCTACAAAATTAATGTTTTACTTAATTTTATGGTGAACTCAGTTCTGGATAAGTGAATTGCTCATTTATGATAATCATGTAGAATATGGTTCAACGAGCTTGTTGATTTATCGAATGAAACCCATTTATAATTTTCATCTTTGAATGTTCATGCTATTGCTTAGTATGAAAATGCAGGGCTCAATTTTATGCATTTATCTTTTTTCCTGATTCTTTACTGCAGCATAAGGCTATTTTTATTGGTGAGCCCTGAAATGTGTCAGTTAGGTCTCATTTAATACAGTGACATATTTGCATTTTATTTTCTCATGTAAAGACGTAAAGCACATTGGCAGGACTGTAGATTTGTGTCAAAACAGGACAAACCACTCTGGGTGCTGCTTGATGCCTCAGTCACGTGACTATATAGTTCACATGGGGTTTGTGTGATAATGAGGTCTATTTTTACTTGATTTAAATATTCAAGCTTCCGAGCTTCCCCGCCGTCTGCTCATCTGTCGCCCAGAGCAGCTGGCTTTACTGGTGGAACTCAGTTCTGAAGACAAGCAAAAGCTTAGGTCTCATTTAATACAGTGACATATTTGCATTTTATTTTCTCATGTAAAGACGTAAAGCACATTGGCAGGACTGTAGATTTGTGTCAAAACAGGACAAACCACTCTGGGTGCTGCTTGATGCCTCGGTCACGTGACTATATAGTTCACATGGGGTTTGTGTGATAATGAGGTCTATTTTTACTTGATTTAAATATTCAAGCTTCCGAGCTTCCCCGCCGTCTGCTCATCTGTCGCCCAGAGCAGCTGGCTTTACTGGTGGAACTTAGTTCTGAAGACAAGCAAAAGTAAAAGCCAAAGTGTGACATCAATACAGTACACTTGGTGCCTCATGTAGTTTTTAAAATATTTGTGGCCATGTCTTTTGTTATGGGAAATATTAGATATGTTAAATTTAACTATGATCCAACATGATCTACCATAAAAAGTTGCATACTTGTTAAAAAGAAAATGTCCATATTTGTTACTGCATGATTTTCCTCGTATTTCAAAAATGATTTCTTTAAATTTGGACATTTTCTACAGCATGCCAGGAAAACAAGTAATGTCTTATACAAACTATTTGAGCTTTACTGATGTACTGCTTTCACTCTTGTTGCACAAGTTATTTTAAGTTAGGGGTGGGCGATATGGCAAAAATATCATATCAAGTTTTTTTTTTCTATAGGAAAATCACGATTCTTTATCATGTTGGTTTTACTATTTTGCAAGCTGTCTGAGCAGAACAGCCAAACTAATTTCCCCATTTTAAAAACAAAGCCTTACCTTCATAAAATAAAAACGAATGACAGATATTTAGGCCAAAGGGGGCAAGTCTTTGTGATTATTTTATTTACATTTTAAAGTACAAATATTTTTCTTTAATTTAGAAAAAATATAGAGTTATGAAGTATAAACCAGCATTTGGTCCGAAACTAGCTAGTCAGCATATAAGTGACAGCATATAATTTAGGCTAAGCTTGAAAACCCTGATTGCTATTATGCTGTCTTTAGTTTAAATGAACGAGTCAGCGGTAGCCCATTGATGGACATTTTCTAAAGGATTGGCACCTTTCAATTAGCCATAAATTCGAAAAAATACTCTTAATTTTTCTCACAATTTTGACTTCACTAACATCTTTTGACTGTGTGAGGAGAGCAGTAACCACAATAATAGTGGCAGAAATGAAAGATGTGAGTGCAGCGGGCAGTCGAAGGGGAGTGTGTGTTTCTCATTGAAGTGTTTTATTGGTTATTATGTGGTTGTGTTTAAGCTTCAGACTCAGCACATCGAGGACTGTCCCCCTGCTCTGCGGTAACGGCCGTTATGAAGAACCCCGTTTACATGGTGCGCAGTCATAGAGTTCACACTAACAACTGCCCTACTGTCGCCAACCAGATCAATCAGCAGCACACACACCCCAGGTACCACAGTTCCCACTGAGATAACCAACACTTACACACATATACTGTACTTCCACTGAAGACTGTACCTCCATCAAATACGGCAACTCTGTGGCAGTATCGACTTTTTCCATTCAATTTCCAATATTTGCCCCCTGGGTTTGATTTCCAGAACATTTGTTTTGCCTTCTTAAATGTATCAGTGTTGTCTTATGTCAAATACTTCAATTCAAGCAACTTCAGTCAATCAGAATATAGACCAATAAAGTCATCTTTACACTCCAAATGTTGAATAGAAGCTGCATCTGACATGGCATGTTTATTTACACAGATTGTTTAATGCTGCTCAAAGGTGGCATACATAGATTTACATGACAATTGTTTAATATAATGAAATTGCCTATATAATAAATCATAAAGAAAAACAGGAATTCATTACAGGGCAGAACTGCAATATTATGACAAATCATTATTAACAACCGTTTATGAATTAGTTTATTGCATTTTATGCATTAGAAAATGAAGACTTCACATTATTTATCTTACGAAAGAGGTATTTCTTCTTCACCGGTGACTGCTTCTGATCAGCCATTTTATTCATACACTCACAACATAAAAATTGATGCAAAATAAGCAGATCTAAATGGATTGCCGCAATCAGCACCTTTCATTCATTTTAGTGGCATTTTTGCCCCAAGCCCCTGTTCATTTCTAACCCTGGAAGGTATCACTTTAATGCAGAACAAGTGCATCCTAAATGTGAGTTATTGCAGTTAATGATGTTATCAAACTTTTAATTACATTGTGCTAAGTACAAGTAGTCGTTGTAGGTCATAAACAGGGTAATTATTTAATCTGTCAAGAGAATAATTGTTCCTTCACCCCATGATGAGTGTTTGCTGATCTGGTGTGTTTTCTTCTCTCCATCTCAGTCCTCAGCATCAAGGGCATCTGAGTCTGGACCTAAGCCAGAAACGCTCCGCAGACTACTCTGACTTGTCCCGGAGCAGCCGGGCCTCACACGGCACCAACTCCCTGCCGTCCAGCTCTAGACTCGGTCAGTCTCTGTCTTTAATCAAATATATCATCTGTTCCCCTCACACAGTAACTATTGAGCTTAAATAGTTTGTGTTTATTTTCTCCCTTTTGTTTCCTGAAGGCTCATCAAATAATTTGCAGTATCGCACTGAAAGGATAAAGATTCCCTCCACGCCACGCTATCCTCGCTCAATGCTGGGCTCAGAAAGAGGTGAGCCTCCATTCATGAATCCAGCAGATCTGAAATGATATTGGCTATGGTTGAACTGGAATATTAACTTACTCCTTTGTACATATTATGTGGTATAGACTGTAGGCTTCATACTACAATAAACTTTTCATGTGTCATGTGACTTCTATGTGTTTAAATGTAGTTATTTATGAAATCTTTCTGAAATAATGTATTTAGAGTTTTTAATCCAGTGTTGTCTTCCATAATGCAGTATGTAAATCTAAATAACCACCAGTAGCAGCAAAATGGTACAGGTAGTTAAAATGTCAGACTAAGCTAAATCAAGTAAAACATGTCAAGTAGAGCAGTGAATCTCAACCTTTTGGCGTACCGGACTCCAGTCCAATTCAGAACCATCCTCAAGGACCCCCAGAACAAAATTGACTCATTTGTGTCTTTGTGAGGACCAAATGCAGTCAAGTATAATTCAAGTTATTTGGCCATATCATCAGCTATATTAGAATTTTCTTTCATGGGAACATGTCATGTCAAAATATACAACATTTATACAAAAATTCATACTTTATACGGACCCCCTGGCCTTATGTCAAGGACCACTAGGGGTCCACGGACCCCTGGTTGAGAAACACTGAAGTAGAGAACACTTTGCACAAACAAGCCTGACATTTGTGTACACTGAAATATTGGAAGCCTGAATAAATAAACTGAGGCAAAGAGTCTGCACTTAGAGGTGTGCATATAAAAGAGGTTTTCTTTCTGTAACTAATAGTGATTCATACATAAAATTTAAGTTTCTGTTCACGTTCAGCATCAAATATAGACAAAGTAGTGGAAGTGAACTGTCCTGTATCCCAAAGTTTTCTTTTGTACAAGAATAGATCAATATAATGTATATTCATGGTATTTTTGTAATACTTTTTTGTGATTTTAAAATGAGCAAATATCGGCAATGTGAGAATCTTGATGATTTTAATGTTTTATTCAGCAATTAAGCTATAAAGAGTGTGCCATTCAACTAATTTTGCCTTTATTTCTTGTTTCACAACTTGCGAGTATGAGAGCGTTAAGACTGAGGTCTTTCAATAGCTAAATACATTTCTGATTTAAACTTCAGTAGCAAAATTGGCATTCAGGCATGTCCCTGTATGGCCCTTTTCACAATCATTCAAAAGTTTGGGGTCGGTACTTTTTTTAATGGTTTTGAAAGAAGTTTCTTACACTCAACAAGGCTACACTTAGTTTACTAAAAATACTAAAAACAGTAATATTATGAAATATATTACTGTTTATAAATTGTGATATATTTTCAAATGTCATTTATTTCTGTGTTTCGAAGCTGTATTTTCAGCATCATTACTCCAGTCTTCATTGTCACATGATTCTTCAGAAATCATTTTAATATGCTGATTTGCTGATCAAGAAACATTTCCTATTATAATCAATGTTGAAAACAGCTGTATTACTTAATACTTTTGTGGAAACTGTGATTATATTTTTATATTTAAGATTTTTTGAGAAAAAATAGAAAGTTAAAAAAAATAGCATGTATTTGTCATAAAAGTTGAATCATTGTAAATGGCTTTACTGTATTAATTTCATTAAAACACTGTAGTGTCTGTCTGTAAATATTGCTGTGTTTTACTATGTATTGTTATACTGCATGTTATTTTTAAGTACATTTTTGCTCTATATTACTTACAGTAAACATTGTGAGTCTAATTGGCCATGATGGCGAATGCATAAATATAGAGGTATATGGATTATCAAAAGGTGTCAAAATAGTTTCTTGTAAATGCGTGTTATTGTCACTGTAGAACCCATGCTGACTGTTGTTTCTCTGTGTTGTTCATCAGGGTCCCTGTCTCATTCAGAATGCAGCAGTCCCAGTCTCATCACGCCACCCCTGTCTCCTCTCAATCTGGAGACGTCCTCGTTCGCCTCCAGCCAGTCTCAGAGCTCCATCTCCACCCTGCCCAAGATCTCCGTCAGCCCCGTACCCACGGGAGAGCGGAGAAAAGACAGGTAAACTCCCGCTGCCTCGAGTTCTTCCTGCTGCGCACCCCCCAGCCCCTTCATCATGTTGCCAAGCAACAGCTCAATCTTATCCACATACGGCAGCCTGGCAAACTCAGAAGCCCTTTATCTGACTCCAATAATTGGACTGTGCGTGAATACAAAATAATGTATGTTGAAGGATCAGTCGTTCATATCGTCACCGTCGCTCACTGCGTGAGGACTCCAGTCCTCTACTATTTTAATCTGCACCGTCATATAAAATTCAGATCGACTTTTTAAGTGGAGTTTTGTAAACTAGGTCACTCATTCATTCCAGTTGTTCGTATGTATTTATTACAATTCTTCTCTACGTATTTGTCTTCCTCCAGAGTCCCTTGCGTGTGTCTCTCTCTTTCACAATCTGTTTTTCTCCTCTCTTCTTTGCTTCTCTGAATCTTTCAGATCTCTGTACCATAACCGATCCTTTCTGAGAATCCCTCTGGCTGCTAGGCCTAGGTTCTCCTCTCTCAGAAGCTTGAGGTTTGTTCCCTGCCAGTGACGCACAGGGAATGCCTGACAAACGTACTTGTTTGCTCCAAGTGGTTGGCTGTAGAAATCCCTGCTTCTCTGTGTTGTGTTAGCATACAGCCCAGGCTTTGTGTTAGTGGTGCTACGAGAAATATATTTACCACATGGAAATGCTGCATTACCAAAGTAAAATGGGTTGTGAAAGGCAGTTCATGAAGACTCTTGCTGATTAGTCAACTAGTGTTCAGGCAACCCAAAGGCCAGTTATGAAAGTGTTGTTTGAAAATTGTCCTCAATTACTCACCTTCATGTCATTCCAAACCAAGACTTTATTTCTTTGAAAGACAAATGAGTATATTTTTTATTAAATCTAAAGAAACTTGCATAGAGAGAAACGTAATCTATATGATTAATTCACATAGATTACTTTTACCTTTAAAAGTAAAGTTTAATCAAGTCTTCTGAAGAGATTGCTTTACATAAGATATAAAGTGATAAACATTAATCAACGCACATACATAAAGTAGAGTGTCAATCAACATGCAAGAACAAAACTCATTGGTCCTTGCGTGTCAAGTGCGGTTGAGCTTCTGTTTACCATATTGGATGTCCTCATATTTGTGATGATCAATGTTTATACGTGAAAAAATCCTAATTGAATCTGTTCAGCATATAAAGTGACCATATCTCTACAAAATTTTTGATTCAACAATTCAGTTCATATGAATTACGAGTACAATCTCTCTATGTACATTTCGAAGCTTGAACATTTTAGTGGAATTTCAACTTTCAATGGAGGGACAGAAATCTCGTACTTTTCATAAAAATATCTTTCATTATGTTTTAAAGGGGACATAACACACAAAGTTTCTGTCAGTCTCTTGTTAATCTTAAGTACTTACCTTCATATCTCTGAAGAGTCATTAGTTTTATTAGATTTATAAAAGACAGGTACAGCTTTACGCTTCTCTCCAAAAGCAGTCGAGCTCCTGGAGGCGTGCTGTGGGCGGAGCTAAAGAGTAACGAGCATGCAAAGCTTTTGCATAGCAATCGTCTGCAAGCTGTGACATCGACATAAAACCGGAACAAAAACGTTGAATTAAATTTTGTTTAATATGTTTATAAAACATTCATCACCGAAATGCCGGGAACAAACACACATGCGAAACTCCGTTGCTGCCCCGGAGAAACAAACTGCATCCACTTTTCCCTAGGGTTGGGTATCATTTGTTTTTTTTTCGATACCGGTGCCAAATCGATACTTTTAAAACAGTTCCGGTGCCTAAACGGTGCCTGAACCGATACTTATTAAAAAAAATAAATAAATAAAATAAAAATTCCCCCCAAAAATTATGGATTGGCCATTAGAATATAAATAGAGTAGAGAGTGCAAATGTTAAAGGGGCAAGTTTTTTTAATAAAAAAAAACAAGCAGATAAAATTAGAGGTAGCATTAGAATAGAGAGTGCTAGAGTTAGAGGGTCAAATGAAGATGAAAGAGATGTGTTTTTAGCCGTTTCTTGAAAATATTAAGGACTCAGCTGCTAGGATTGAGCTGGGCAGGTCATTCCACCAGGAGGGTACAGTTAATGTAGAAGTCTATGAAAGTTTTATCATAGGTAGAATGCAAAATGTTTCAATACAAGCATTTCAGTCAAATGTAATTTATGCAATATTTCAAACCTTTAACCCACTTTGGAAAATCAACCCATGGCAACAGTTTAAAAGTAGCCCAATTCTGTAGAAAAAAAACGTGGACTTGGCAACCCTGCATCCAACAAGAGCTACCAGAGTCAGCTTTGACTGATCACAGGTCGAGAATAAGGAGAGATGACTGACAAGACCATGCTGGAGTATTTGCTGCTCAACAGATTCTGAGTTCATTGACAAATATCTGATCTTGTAAGATGTGCTTGCTCCCTTTACACAGAACTGCGTGTGATCGCGAAATCGAAAGTGAAAGTAAACAGCGCAAACGCTCATTCAAAAATATTTAAATACACCGCATCCTGAGAGCGGCTTCCTGATGCGCCAAAATTCTATACAATATTAGAATGTTTAAAGGAGTGGACACAAAAAATGCGGGAGCGAAACACATGTTGCGGGAGCAGGCGGCAATGGACAGATTCAGCGGGAGTGGGATTAAGAAAACAGCAGAATCCCAGACATTTTGGACAATTAAGAAATCTCGGCCGGATGCATTTTTGTAGGTCCAAAAAGAGGGCATGTGAGGGGAAAAGAGGACGTATGGTCACCCTTATTTATAATCTATTGCTAATCGATGTATTCTTTTTAAAGTAGCATATGGAACATATTTTCTGCCTCATTCTGTGACAAGAAGCCTCATCAGATAACAAAAGGAAACATTTGACTGGTGTTGTGGAGTAAAAAGGTTATAATTTTCTCTTTTGTTGGACAACAGGTTTAGAAATGTGAATACAAGGTTTAGCTTCAGGAATTTTAATTTAAGCATGTTTAGCTTAGTTAACGGAAGGCTACCTGCTGCCATCAGAGCAAGTGTAATTACAACCAGAAAGAGCTTTATTGCCAAGTATGTTTGCACATACAAGGAATTTGTTATAGTGTCACAAGCTTCCAGTACACGGAGACAACAACAACACACAGATAATAAAAGTGAGATGTGAATAAAATACACATGCATAAATATAAACCACAAAAAAAAAAAAGAATAAATTGTATGTACAGGTGTGCTATAGATGGAATAGGAATAGAATAAAATAAAATAAGTTGTAGGGATGTACTAGGGTTTAGGGTGATAAATAAGTATAAGGTTATTGTACATACTGTACTTTAATTGCACAGTCGGAGAACATTAACTGTTCATTACTGCATTCACGCGCTCCTCGATGCTCTCATTTCCCGAGTTGTGCTTTTAAATCGGAATGTGAAAACAACATGGACACTCTCATTACTACAAAGATGTGTTGGATTTGTATTATTAGAGCTTTCCGACTTGAGTTCATGTGCATTTTCTCAGTCGGGAAATATTTTTTCTTGTGCGGTGCCACGATTATGTTTCTTACGTCCGTTTTGGAGAACCTGAGGACAAATATTTCAATCGATTGCTCGGGCATGGCACCGAAATGAGGCACCGAAATCTGCGTTCGGATTCGTTTCTAGTACATACCGGTTACATAGGTACCTGTGCTATATTGGTACCAGGCTTCGGTACCCAACCCTACTGTTCCCTTAACACTGGGATCTTAGGGAGGCTGAACAAGGTTATCTTTCCCTCACAACCAAAAACACACTTCTTTGATGACATTCTTTTTGAGCAAGTCCTGTGCAGCGTTGCCGACGACTTCCGTAACCCGAATGAGGCACGTTGATGGGCTGCTCTTGCTCTTGCTCTTGCTTTGGTTGATGTGCGCACGCTCTTCCGGGAGAAGTGCCCATACATAGAATTCCATCCTTTGTGACATCAAGAAGAGCCATACTTGGGGAAAAAACTTTCTGAAACTTATACGAACCCTGAAGGAATGTATTTGGCACAGAAATACTCTTTCATACGTCCAACAAGTTTTTTTTACTTTGGCCATGTTAAGCATGAGAATCCAACTCTTTAACAGTGTAAATAAGTCAGAATGCATGAAATGGCATTAGACCTCCCCTTTAAGAATGAACGGACATTATACATGTTTTGAATGACATGAGGGTGAGTAAATATGACAGAATTTTAATTTTTGTGTGAACTATCCCTTTAATACGACTACATGGAGGGGATCAGGTTTATAAATCTCAGTCAACATTTTCCTTCAAGTGGAGTTTAATTGGGTGTTATTGAGTAATCTTTCCCTGCTGCTTCTAATTTACTTTTTTGATTAACCTGCTCAGCAAGAGATTCCCCATGAATGTTAAATCTGTACAGAGCAGGTTTAGGTGTTTTTGGAGTAAATGTGTACTTAAGTGCTTAAGATTTTGGAGATACATTTATGATTTGCATGTCAGTTTGGCTGCTCTCGTCCTGAAAAGATCCAGATTTTGCTCCAATCAATCAGTCAGTCTTTTACAAAGTCTTGATTTTGTTTTGGGGGTGTACTAGAACAGGCTCTCATACTAGGTTGTTCGAAAAACAATTTTTTTTCACATATTTTACATTATTACAACACCTCTCTCCCCAGTCTGGCATGAACGGCTCGAATAGTTCCTGTATCAAATGAAGGCCTGCCTTCTGAAATACGAAATGTGCTGTGATTGGTTAGCTGGGCCAGTGTGTGTTGTGATTGGCAGCACTCGGCGCCTGGTCGGGAAATTTCATGACCCTTACCATCCGCCTGCAAGCTTCAGTGTAAATATTGCGTCAAAATCAAATCAATTTGAGCACAATTTAAACCTGGATGATTGTAACCACTCTAAGTTTGTCTGCCTTGGGAAAGCTAGCGTGTCCCCAACATAGTGATAACACTCGTTGCCTTCTCTAGTGCAGCTCAACCAGGTCTCATCCCATTCGTCGATATTTGTGATATCACAAATCCTGGAAAATATGCGTTGTAGTCTAAACGAGTCATTCGTTGTAGTTTTTGAAAAGTGATTTCTGTTAAATAAAATATCTCCTTTTGAAGTGGACTTTGAACTTTGTAACTTTGCAGATCGTTTTTATGCTCAAACAAACAGCAACATTATAGGCTAACTAAAGTTGAAAAAGTGAAAAAGCATAATAGGACCCATTTAAAGCATGGTTTTACTTGTTTGGGTGGTAAATCAGGCATTTGTACATGCATATTTAAATATTTAAGTTAGGAGAATTAGGATGAGTTAGGAGGAGGAGAATAAATGTATGACCTTCTGGATGTTTTATTGAAGTCCTGTATGCACACTTCCCTTCGCTTTCTACCCTGTTTGTGTGCCTCTCTGGCAGTTAGTCCTTCAAACTGCCAGTTCAGTAAATGTCTCTTGCTGTACACCCACCTGCATGGTTCTCCTCTGTCGCAGTATTTCAGCATCTACCCTGGTTAAAGCCCTGCAGACCAACTTCTATCTCGGCTGCTAATTATCTCTGATCTTGAAACTCACCCACATTTATCGCTCTGACAGGCCATACTTGGAGGAGCCTCGGAATGTCATTGTGCACAAAGGGGCGGAGCCTCTCGGCATCTCCATCGTGGGTGGAGAGAATGGAGGAATCTTTGTCTCTAAGGTGACCGGGGGCAGCATCGCACACCAGGCTGGACTGGAGTATGGAGACCAGCTACTGGAGGTTAGCATTAGCGCATCAATAACCCAAATGGGCTTTGAGAGAAAAGGATAGGAAATTGGAAGGTTTGTCAATTTTTTTTCTTGCCTTATTTACATTTTTAGGGCAAATTTAAATTCATGACCAGTCATTATTTTAAAATACAGCCCAATTAGAGGGTGCCACATATTTAAATAGGGTTTCTGTCCACATTGTTTCTATATTTCACACTTCATATGGAGGACCATCACACCCCAGGACATTTTATTTTGTTTATATAATTTTATTTTATGCACTTATTTTATGCAATTTTGTAAATCAGTAAAGCTGCATGCCATGTCAACTACTAATATGCATCATGCAACTCAAATATATTTTTGATTCTTTCTCTCAGTATAATGGGATAAACCTGCGCAATGCCACCGAGCAGCAAGCACGACTCATCATTGGCCAGCAGTGTGACACCATCACGATTATGGCCCAGTACAACCCACACATGTATCAGCTCGGCAACCACTCTCACTCCAGGTACAGCTCTTTTCCCTTTTCATTTAGCTCCGGTGAATGCAGGTTTGATCGCAAAGCGGGGTTGGTTTATTCTTGGCCATGTTATTCCATAGTTCCCGCTTGGAGCCAGTGAGCACTCGGTCTACCCCGCAGGGCAGTGGAGCCGCCACCCCAGATAACCACTCCACCATAGACACCCTGAGTGAACAGGATGAAGGCACGCTCACCCCATCCTCCAAACAGACGACACCCACCACCAGTCCCAGCAGCTTCATCAGGTACTGCTCAAATACTGTACATACAGTGAACTGCCTTGCTGTCTACTGCCTAGATAGCAGATGGATTTTAAGACAGCATTCTGACTGAATGTAATCACATAAATGACATATTTGGAATGCTCTACAAAGACATAAACATAAAAAAAAGTTTTTTTACTCGGAAGAGGTTTTTTAATTTTCACATTGATGGAAAAATTACAAGGTTCAAATATGCCAGAAAATGAAATGTATGCATGATTGAAACATACACCAAGATTAAAAACATGCATTTAGAAAAGAGAGATTTTTCATTAAATACATTTTAATTTAATACTGACTTTAACATGTTACTAAGCGAATCTTTTGATACTCAAGTGCATTGCACACAGTTTTGGATAAAAAAAAATATATAGATTTTTTTTTTATTATTGGTACTTTTTTTTTTATTGAAAAGCTAATAGGTATATTTATGATCATCACACTTATTCCACCATCTTGGATGAATTTTTACACTGAGCTTGTTGCAAAGCTGTTCTTTGGAATGCCTTCTCTTGGAAGGATGTGTGCAATGCTTTACAGAAATATTTTGTTCCTCTTCTCAAAGGAAGCATAAATATGCAGCTTACCTTTTGGAAAAACCAGGGTAACACAACACGAAATCCATGACTTTGGGTGACCCCCAGACTTTTTGTTTCTGCTCTTGAATGTCAGGATGTCTTCTGAGAGTTCCAAGAAAGTTCCGGAGCCTCGCTTGGTAACAGTGAGGAAGACTCAGGGGGAGCTGGGCATTCAGCTGTGTGGAGGAAACCTGCGGGGGATCTTTGTGGAGAGGCTGGAAGAGGACAGTCCTGCCAGAGGAGCGGATGGTCTTGTTCCTGGAGACATGATACTTGAGGTAAATGGAGATCACTGCTCTGTCTATGTAGTGCTTTTATGGGACTAGTGTGAACAGAAATGGCGAGACAGCAGTTCTTTGTTAGACAAATAAGAATGACTTCCTTTTTTGAGTTTTTTGGGAGTGAGTTTTTATGCTTTTAGTGACAGCCCTAAGTGTTACAATCAAGTCAAGACTAACAGGTTTCCGGAAGCAGCTTAACATTGGCACAGTTAGACTTTTAAGCTGAACATTATGATTTAACTTTCTACGCTATATAGTGCTGCAGCGATGACGCATTTCACCCTCGTTCCCTTGACAAAAAGCCAACTGGAATTTTTTCCATTGGCTTTCAGATTAGTGCAGAAAGTAAGCTCTGTGACCAACAAAAGTTATGATTCTTACACATTTTGTTAATCAAGATAATCTTCACAAATGAACAAAACCTTTATTAATTTAAAGCATAAATACAGTGAGTAAGCTAAGTTAGGCTATAAATGAACTACACCACGATCACACAATTTCAATGTCACCATCACTAATCTTCCAATAACTCTTGTAGCTTTTGTTTAAAATGTACAAGTAGTAATGTTTAAGTTAGAATAGTTTGCATGAGCACATGTCTAAAAAAATGAAAATGAAAATAAAATGCTCACTTGTTTTAGGACTCCTTGCCGCAATCTTATTTGCTAGCATTTATTACAGCCTCATCCACTGCCTGTATTGTTGTCCTCTAATTCAAATGTCAGTATGCTTTCTTAATGTTTTTGATTGATCACTTTGCTTTTTGATGCATGGAGGGAAGTTGGTAATATCCCATTCCTGGCATGGATATATTCAGACCTGTGTCAGCCATGGCAACAGCACTTTTTTTCAAGACAAAGCAAAGAAGTTGTTGTGTTTCGCTTCACGTTATATTAGATATGCAATGGAAATCAATCAGGAACCCTTAAAATTGATGCCTGTAATTTTTTTTTTTCCTAACAACTGTTAAAATAGTTATTCCCAGTATAATTCATTTACAGTGATTTAGAAGCTACAAACTTTTTCCTTTTTTGGTTACATTTTTGAGATTGGATATTTAAACTAAATGTGATTACACCCTTTCGATTGTTCTTTGTTCATCCAGTATGGCTCAGTCAGCATGAAGAATAAGACTGTGGAGGAGGCATACCTGGAAATGCTGAAGCCTGCGGAAACAGTGACATTCAGAGTCCAGCATCGTCTGGATGAGTTCAACAAGGTGAAGGACGCTCCTGGAGATGGATTCTATATCAGGTACAGCATGGTCTCATCGGCATTGACATGCATCTCCATTCACGGCCACTTACCGCTTCCCTAGAACCAAATGCCAGTGTTTGGGCCTTGTGTGTGCTGCTCTAAATATAGATATGTGAGAAAACTGCTGCAATGGAAATCTTTTAATCTCTTTAATTATGTTTAGGATGGAGGGTGAGATATTGTATCTGGCGGTGAAGACTGTATCACCAAATCTCCATAATTTGTGTTCTATAATCGTAGCTGTGGTAATTAGACGGTTCGAGACAGAGATGCATTGTGTCTGCGCGGTGGAAAAAGAATAATGGAAGAGGGCTGTTCAGAAATAGCCATGTTTGTCTTTGCAAATGAAATTCTGTGGCCCGCAGCTGTTGCAGGCGCTTTTTATGCCTGCTCTCCCATGATGTCACAGGCTGTAAATAATCTCCGTCAATCCGCATGTCATGAATGAGCAGGGATGAGGAGTTATGGGTGGCTGCTAAAAGCCGCCTTGTGCTACTCCCAGGAATGAAGGATCGGCTCTGTCCCGGCCTCTTCCTGAATTTTTCATTCGTTCTTTCCTTCCTTTATTTTTCTTTGTCTTCTGGACTCTTTTCATTTGACTCGTATTACCTCATTCTTGCAGTCTTTTCATGTATAATGCTGTCACTTGTTGAATTATTCATGTTTTCTTTCTCTTCCAGAGCACTTTATGACCGAGTGGCTGAGACTGAGCTCGACCTCTCGTTTAAGAAAGACGACATCCTCTATGTGGATGACACGCTACGAAATGGCAACTTCGGCACCTGGATGGCCTGGCAACTTGATGAAAATGCACAAAAAATTCAAAGAGGCCAGATCCCTAGCAAATATATGTGAGTCACATTCTTAGACACGATCTTTAGAAAGCATCATATTATTAATACTTTTATTTGAATTAGTACTTTTTTGACCGTAAAGACATAATGTTATAAAAGATTCTATTTTAGATAAATGCTTTTCTTCAAACTTCTTCAAAATCCTGTAAAAAAGAAAAAAAAAACACACTTCCTCACTTTGTGTGCTTCATTACGCAGCACAGCAGTTTTCAAATATTAATAAAAAGAAGAAATGTTTCTTGAGCACCAAATCAGATTATTAGCATGATTTCTGAAGGATCATATGACAGTGAAGACTGAAGTAATGATGCTGAAAATTCAGCATCGCCCTCACAGGAATAAAATACATTTTTAAATATATTAAGTTAAGTTAGTTTAAATTATAATTATATTTTACAATATTATTGTTTTACTGCATAATAAATAAATAAATGGTGAACATAAGACACCCTTTCCCCCCCAAAAATTAAGAAAAAAAATTGACTGACCAAAAACTTTTGAATGCTAGGGTATAAATATTGGTTGACATTTGGCCATTTTTAGTTTTTTCAATTATTATTATTTTTTTTTTTTTTTGCATCAGCTGATAACCGTTCCCACTTGGCTGATTAAATTTTTTTTTATGCTATTATTATATAATTGTATATTTTATTTTTTTGATTGATCACTTTGCTTTTTGATGCATGGAGGGAAGTTGGTAATATCCCATTCCTGGCATGGATATATTCAGACCTGTGTCAGCCATGGCAACAGCACTTTTTTTCAAGACAAAGCAAAGAAGTTGTTGTGTTTCGCTTCACGTTATATTAGATATGCAATGGAAATCAATCAGGAACCCTTAAAATTGATGCCTGTAATTTTTTTTTTTCCTAACAACTGTTAAAATAGTTATTCCCAGTATAATTCATTTACAGTGATTTAGAAGCTACAAACTTTTTCCTTTTTTGGTTACATTTTTGAGATTGGATATTTAAACTAAATGTGATTACACCCTTTCGATTGTTCTTTGTTCATCCAGTATGGCTCAGTCAGCATGAAGAATAAGACTGTGGAGGAGGCATACCTGGAAATGCTGAAGCCTGCGGAAACAGTGACATTCAGAGTCCAGCATCGTCTGGATGAGTTCAACCAGGTGAAGGACACTCCTGGAGATGGATTCTATATCAGGTACAGCATGATCTCGTCTGCATCAACATACATCACCATTCATGGCCACTTTCCGCTTCCATAGAACCAAATGCCAGTGTTTGGGCCTTGTGTGCGCTGCTCTAAATATAGATATGTGAGAAAACTGCTGCAATGGAAATCTTTTAATCTCTTTAATTATGTTTAGGATGGAGGGTGAGATATTGTATCTGGCGGTGAAGATCGTATCACCAAATCTCCATAATTTGTGTTCTATAATCGTAGCTGTGGTAATTAGACGGTTCGAGACAGAGATGCATTGTGTCTGCGCGGTGGAAAAAGAATAATGGAAGAGGGCTGTTCAGAAATAGCCATGTTTGTCTTTGCAAATGAAATTCTGTGGCCCGCAGCTGTTGCAGGCGCTTTTTATGCCTGCTCTCCCATGATGTCACAGGCTGTAAATAATCTCCGTCAATCCGCATGTCATGAATGAGCAGGGATGAGGAGTTATGGGTGGCTGCTAAAAGCCGCCTTGTGCTACTCCCAGGAATGAAGGATCGGCTCTGTCCCGGCCTCTTCCTGAATTTTTCATTCGTTCTTTCCTTCCTTTATTTTTCTTTGTCTTCTGGACTCTTTTCATTTGACTCGTATTACCTCATTCTTGCAGTCTTTTCATGTATAATGCTGTCACTTGTTGAATTATTCATGTTTTCTTTCTCTTCCAGAGCACTTTATGACCGAGTGGCTGAGACTGAGCTCGACCTCTCGTTTAAGAAAGACGACATCCTCTATGTGGATGACACGCTACGAAATGGCAACTTCGGCACCTGGATGGCCTGGCAACTTGATGAAAATGCACAAAAAATTCAAAGAGGCCAGATCCCTAGCAAATATATGTGAGTCACATTCTTAGACACGATCTTTAGAAAGCATCATATTATTAATACTTTTATTTGAATTAGTACTTTTTTGACCGTAAAGACATAATGTTATAAAAGATTCTATTTTAGATAAATGCTTTTCTTCAAACTTCTTCAAAATCCTGTAAAAAAGAAAAAAAAAACACACTTCCTCACTTTGTGTGCTTCATTACGCAGCACAGCAGTTTTCAAATATTAATAAAAAGAAGAAATGTTTCTTGAGCACCAAATCAGATTATTAGCATGATTTCTGAAGGATCATATGACAGTGAAGACTGAAGTAATGATGCTGAAAATTCAGCATCGCCCTCACAGGAATAAAATACATTTTTAAATATATTAAGTTAAGTTAGTTTAAATTATAATTATATTTTACAATATTATTGTTTTACTGCATAATAAATAAATAAATGGTGAACATAAGACACCCTTTCCCCCCCAAAAATTAAGAAAAAAAATTGACTGACCAAAAACTTTTGAATGCTAGGGTATAAATATTGGTTGACATTTGGCCATTTTTAGTTTTTTCAATTATTATTATTATTTTTTTTTTTTGCATCAGCTGATAACCGTTCCCACTTGGCTGATTAAATTTTTTTTTATGCTATTATTATATAATTGTATATTTTATTCATTTACATGAGTATTATGTGAATATGTGGTAATGTTTAGAGTTAGTGTTTAATTTCAGCAATCTTGAGTACAAATTGCGGTCATTTTTTTTTTTTGCATCAGCTGATAACCGTTCCCACTTGGCTGATTAAATTTTTTTTTATGCTATTATTATATAATTGTATATTTTATTCATTTACATGAGTATTATGTGAATATGTGGTAATGTTTAGAGTTAGTGTTTAATTTCAGCAATCTTGAGTACAAATTGCGGTCATTAAAATGTATTATGTATAAACTGCCACATACTAGATTTATAGTTTCTGATTTCATTCAACCACTAGTTAGAAGCAACTTGATGCAACTGAATTCATGTGTTTAGAATAAAGCATACGCTTACCTCAGACACAAAAATGTGTGCATACATAGGTTCTGGCTAGTTTTTAAATGAACTGAATAACAGGAGGTAACAGTATGAAAACATACAGACGACCGCAGTTGTGTAACCTGGACTCATGTTCTGCTTGTAGGATGGATCAGGAGTTCTACCGCAGACACAGTATGACGGAACTGAAGGACGAGACGGGCTCCAGTAAGACCCTCTCCGCAGCCGCACGCAGATCCTTCTTCCGCAGGAAGCAGAAGCACAAACGTAGCAGCTCCAAAGATGGGAAAGACGTCATAGCCTTAGACGCAATCAGCACAGACTCTATTCCATTCTTAGATGGTGAGACTCTCCAGTTTCCCATAATGTAGTGCTGCTGAAATTAGCATTTTGATGAGATTGTTGTTGACCCTGTTTTTTTTTTTTTTGTGATGTGGACAGATTTTGTGAGTCTGGCCTATCAGAGAGTGCAGAAGATCGACTGCACGTCTCCCAGACCGGTGCTGATCCTCGGCCCGTTGGTGGATCCGGTTAAAGACATGCTGGTCAAAGAATCCCCCGAGAAATTCAGCAGATGCATGCTTGGTAATTGTCCACTAGTTTTTAACTACAGTGCGATCTCTGTTGAAATTATCTTCGTAATCCTAGTATACGGTTAACAATTTATGCCTTATGGCATTGGGATTCATCAGTACTTGTATCTGACTGACACCGTCCTCATATACAGATATCAATATAACTTATTTTTTCAGTGTATGAAAGCAAATAATTGAAGACACTTCAGGCATTTTAGTAGGCCAATTGAATACTGCTGTTTACTAGAGCTACAAAGATAATCAATACATTAACTCTGAGCGAATTTAGCCGTTTTCTTAGTATTTTCTGTAATAGACAGCACAGTCATTTATAGACAACAGCATTATCAAATACTTTTATACTAATATCAAAAGTCAATCAATTGACTTATACTTAAAAACAATCAATTATATAACAACACCTGACTTATGCAATGTTGTTATTATCTAAAACTAATAAAAATAAATGTTCTGAATAGTTATTTGGGGAAAACTTAATGTTCACTTAATTAAATAGACTTAGTACGAGCTGTCATTTTATTTGAATTTGTTAATATTGAACTTTATAAAGGACTGTGTTTAATTGCATATTAGTTTTTGCTGTGGTAACACAATTGATATCTAGAAACTGGAAAATTCTCTGGTATTACTATCAGATCATTTTGGTATTGTGAAAACTTATGATAATAATCAGTAATGGAGAAATGAGACTGGTTCAGTCTAATGATGGTGTTGAATATGAGTGTGCTGAGCTTTGTTTGTTCTGCTCATCCAGAGGTGATGAAGGCTTCCCAGCAGGCCATCGAGCGCGGAGTGAAAGACTTTCTCTTCATCGACTACAAACGGAGGAGTGGCCATTTTGATGTGACTACTGTTGCCTCCATCAAGGAGATCACAGACAAGGTTTGTCCACGCGTCTCAGTCAATGTTTTATCATGTTCATTTGAGATAATATGGCCCTTAATAATAAGCTAAACTCTGATAAATATCTTTTAATTCGATTAGTATCAAAAGCTAAGGCTCATGTTTGTTGATTGTGCTTGCAGGATTGCTTTCAGCAAGCTCTTGTTTCTCTGTTTGCAGTCGCTCATGCTGTATATGTGTAACATGACTCAGACCTGTTCTGTGCTGTGTCGTTCTCTCTCGTAGGACTGTCACTGTTTGCTTGACATTGCACCTCACGCTATCGAACGGCTTCACAGCGTTCACATTTACCCAATCGTCATTTTCATTCGCTACAAAAACGCAAAGCAGATAAAGTAAGTGTCCACATCCCTCTTCACAAGTACTTCTCGAATATTTCAGCCAGTTAGAGAGCCAGCTGAGCTCTTGGGTGTCCTTGTGGGACCCGTCCAAACACACACACACACACTCTGTTTAAGGCTCTCCTGGCACATTTGTATGCCAAGAAGTTCCTGTGCGCTCCCTCAGGGCCCTGGAGACATTTGGGAGATGGAGAGCAGTTTTACTGTGTAGGCTGCATTTGACTTGGAAGAACTGCTGTTAAATGGATGAACATCTTGGCTCACTTTTGCCATAACGTTCCACAGATATAGGGCAAGATATACGTAGGCAGCCGCTTCACTCTTTTCTGTCTGTGTCTCTCTCCTTCACTTTTGCTCAAGGTTGTCCAGCTGAAGACTGCTTTGTGAGACCCCCTGGCCAGTTTATCAGGAAAATATAAGGAAAATTAAAGCCGACTGTAGACTGTTAATATGCATATCACGGGTTCACAGCATACTGTACTGATAGCTCTCTAGGGGTGCGAGACTTAAAAGGACAATAAATCCCAGCTTTATTCTCCTGATAGCGCTGCATAACTGTGCCTTTAGCTCTCTTCAGCACTTTCGTGTAGAGTTGTCAGAGCGCTAATGGTGCAAAGTCGTCCCAACAGAGGTTTTTAAATTGGCGATTTCCCAGAAGGATTAGAAAATCAAGCCTGCACTCGATCGCTATGGGGATTAATACAGGTCGTCTTTGACCTGCTGACTAGCACCTACTTAATATAAAGGCTACCAGAGTTAATCAGTCCTGCTCTCATTAGCACTCAGCATCATGACACCACGTCATTTACAAAGACTTCATAGGCTCTTGCATTTCCTGGAATTCAGAAAGGCTGTATGAAAACTCACGTGCACATACACCAGGGCTGGTTGGCATATTAAATATTTGTGATATGTTTACCAGGATTCTGGACCAGTATGAAATAAAGCAAGTATTATATATTACCATGATTTTAATACAATTTCTGAAGTCTCTTTATGGCATTTTCCCATGTATTAAAATGTTTTAGGGGGGAAAAAAAAAAACTATATATATATATATACTGTATATAAAGTGGTGTGAAAAAGTGTTGGCCCCCTTCCTGATTTCTTATTTTTTTGCATGTTTGTCACACTTTAATGTTTCAGATCATCAAACCAATTTAAATATTAGTCAAAGATAACACAAGTAAACACACCATGCAGTTTTTAAATTAAGGTTTTTAAAACAAAATTCAAAACTACATGGCCCTGTGTGAGGATTTTGCCCCCCTGTTAAAACTGTGGTTTATCACACCTGAGTTCAATTTCTCTAGCCACACCCAGGCCTGATTACTGCCACACCTGTTCGCAATCAAGAAATCTCTTAAATAGGACCTGCCCGACAAAGTGAAGTAGACCAAAAGATCCTCAAAAGCTAGACGTCTTGCCGAGATCCAAAGAAATTCAGAAACAAATGAGAAAGAAAGTAATTGAGATCTATCAGTCTGGAAAAGGTTATAAAGCCATTTCTAAAGCTTTGGGACTCCAGCGAACCACAGTGAGAGCCATTATTCACAAATGGCAAAAACATGGAACCGTGGAGAATCTTCCCAGGAGTGGCCGGACGACCAAAATTACCCCAAGAGCACAGCGACGACTCATCCAAGAGGTCACAAAAGACCCCACAACAACATCCAAAGAACTGCAGGCCTCACTTGCCTCAGTTAAAGTCAGTGTTCATGACTCCACCATAAGAAAGAGACTGGACAAAAAATGGTCTGCAAAGACGAAAAACCGCTGCTGAGCAAAAAAAACTAAGGCTCGTCTCAGTTTTGCCAGAAAACATCTTGATGATCCCTAAGACTTTAGGGAAAATACTCTGTGGACTGACGAAACAAAAGTTTAACTTTTTGGAAGGTGAAGACTTTGGAGTGGCCTAGTCAAAGTCCTGACCTGAATCCTATTGAGATGCTGTGGCATGACCTTAAAAAGGCGGTTCATGCTCGAAAACCCTCCAATGTGGCTGAATTACAACAATTCTGCATAGATGAGTGGACCAAAATTCCTCCACAGCGCTGTAACAGACTCATTGCAAGTTATCGCAAACGCTTGATTGCAGTTGTTGCTGCTAAGGGTGGCCCAACCAGTTATTAGGTTTAGGGGGCAGACACTTTTTCACACATGGCCATGTAGTTTTGGATTTTGTTTTTCCTTAATAATAAAAACCTTCATTTAAAAACTGCATGTTGTGTTCACTTGTTATCTTTTACTAATATTTAAATTTGTTTGATGATCTGAAACATTAAAGTGTGACAAACATGCAAAAAAACAAGAAATCAGGAAGGGGGCCAACACTTTTTCACACCACTGTATATGTGTGTGTTATGTGTTGTTATATTGGTGCTTTAATAATTTAACATGGTTTAATAATCTTTTTTTTTTTTTTTTTTTTTTTTTTTTTTTTTTTTTTACAGTTTTACTATTAATTTTAATTTAATAGGTAAATAAGTAAATGTCATATCTAGTAAAAATGCATTATTATATTATATACATACCATTTTAACTACACATGCTCATACAGACAGCACCTGTCCCAGGAGGGTGATTACATATACTTTAGACACCTATATATTTTTTTTACTTTTATTTTTTATTTTATATGTAATATAAAAAAAATTTATTGGAAACTAAGTTAAAAATTAAAATGTTAAAATGCAATATAGGAAATCTAGTGAAAATACAATATTATATATATCTACCACTTTGTTTACTTTTTTTATTTTATTTTATTTTATCTTGCATTATATCTTTTTTTTTGCCCATTTAACACGCACTGACACAGACGACACCTGTCACAGCCAGGTGTTTACATAGATGTTCAGTTGTTTTGCCCTGCAGGAATCTATTTCTCGAGGGAGATACACACTTTTACTCTGTTTTCGTATTTAACAGCTGATGTCTTCATTTTGCTAGCGTTTTATTATTATGCACCCGTCCAAAATGTTGCTGCTTGAATCACGTTTGTCTCAAAAGAACAATGTCATTGTGCCAGTTTAATCTTGTAATGTCATTATGTGTGAAGTCTGAATGACTGTTTCCCTGTGTAGAGAGCAGAAGGATCCAGTTTATCTGCGGGATAAAGTCTCTCAAAAACATTCCAAGGAGCAGTTTGAGATTGCACAGAAGATAGAGCAGGAATATAGCAAATTTTTCACAGGTTTGTTATTCTTATCTGCCTCGGTGTATGAATTACCATTTGGGGGCAGTGAGATTTTTTTAAAGAAAGAAATGAATACTTTTATTCAGCAAGCACGTATTAAGTTGATCAAAAGAGTAAAGGCATTTATAATGTTACGAAAGATTTCGGTTTCAAATACATGCTGTTCTTTTGAACTTTCAATTCATGAAAGCTTGACTCGCTGTTGTTTGGTGTTTCCTTACAGGTATCGTTCAAGGAGGCACCTTCCCTTACATTTGCACTCAGATCGTCACTATTGTGGATCAGGAACAGAGCAAAGTTCTGTGGACGCCGCTGGGCTCCCCGTAGACTTACAAACACTAGACTTTATACACAACGCACGCGAAGGTACACTAACGTTATGAGCGTCACGTTAAGATAGTGATTCTTTTTTTTTTCGTCTATTAATTTTTATTACGTTATTAATTGCAACTTTTATTTGGATGTGTGTGTGTGTGTGTGTATGCAGATGCAGGACGATAGCACTGAAGTATTTGTTCATTTGGTTTCGGTCTTCCTGACGGACATAGCAATGCTGCATTTAAGACACTCGTTTACAGAGCAATCAGTCAGTGAATTGTTTTAACGTCTGCCTGAATGTGAAGTCCCTCATACAAGCAGCCCTGCACCAAAACTGTATGCGTGACACCCTCCCATGTCTAACATATCAGCTCAAGGACTGAATCCTCGTCTCATGGTTTAAGAGTCATTTGTGGCCAAGTTTGTTGTGTAGATGTCAGTGAGCGTTGCTTTGAATCGTAGTGCTTATCTATGGAGCTGAGACCGATTCTACGGGCCGAATGGAAGTGCCTTTGGAGATCCACTGAGCGTATGACAATGGCATGAGGTGAAAGCCTGGTATTTAAACCGTAAAACTTCTCAGATTGCACTCCAGGGCTAGACAGACCACTGTGTACTATGAGATCTCGAAGCATTCTCATATTAGAGCTTATATTTAAAGAGAATATCCCATGTAACACTTGTACTCGTGCATACGAACTGAAGTACGGGCGCACATGTATGCGTATGCAATTTCATCAAAATATATAGAAATATATTTACTGTATTTTTACTAGGCTATAGTCCTAGGGGAGTGTGACGGAGTGTCACATCTTAGCAAATATCAGCATGTTTGTGTGTGTGTGTGCGAGAGAGCGAATGCACGTTTCTGTTCGTGTATGTTTGTCAGTCTTTTTTATTTGTACTACACACAAAAAAAACATCACGAAAAGAAAAGTTGCAGGGTAAACCTGAAACGGTTTTCTTAAATCGGTTTAAATGTTAGTGGTTTTTCATTGCTATTTAATTTTTTTTATTATTATTATTCAAGAGGCATGTTATGTCTCATGCAGACCAGTAGCCCCATTAATGTTGTGCCAAAAAAAGTCATTTTCTTTCGTTTTTCTGTTTTGCACTTCCAATGTTCTGAACTCTAAACAAATGACTGTTTGTAGGTTTCCAGTGGAATGGAAATGGGTACTATAATTTTTATTGTAAAATAATATTCATGTGTATCACTCCTGCTCCATACATTTCATTAACTGCCTTTTTTTTTAAGAAAAAAAGAGAAACACTGCATAAAAAGGGATTTCTTATTGCATTCTACGAAAGATTTCGGTTTCAAATACATGCTGTTCTTTTGAACTTTCAATTCATGAAAGCTTGACTCGCTGTTGTTTGGTGTTTCCTTACAGGTATCGTTCAAGGAGGCACCTTCCCTTACATTTGCACTCAGATCGTCACTATTGTGGATCAGGAACAGAGCAAAGTTCTGTGGACGCCGCTGGGCTCCCCGTAGACTTACAAACACTAGACTTTATACACAACGCACGCGAAGGTACACTAACGTTATGAGCGTCACGTTAAGATAGTGATTCTTTTTTTTTTCGTCTATTAATTTTTATTACGTTATTAATTGCAACTTTTATTTGGATGTGTGTGTGTGTGTGTGTGTATGCAGATGCAGGACGATAGCACTGAAGTATTTGTTCATTTGGTTTCGGTCTTCCTGACGGACATAGCAATGCTGCATTTAAGACACTCGTTTACAGAGCAATCAGTCAGTGAATTGTTTTAACGTCTGCCTGAATGTGAAGTCCCTCATACAAGCAGCCCTGCACCAAAACTGTATGCGTGACACCCTCCCATGTCTAACATATCAGCTCAAGGACTGAATCCTCGTCTCATGGTTTAAGAGTCATTTGTGGCCAAGTTTGTTGTGTAGATGTCAGTGAGCGTTGCTTTGAATCGTAGTGCTTATCTATGGAGCTGAGACCGATTCTACGGGCCGAATGGAAGTGCCTTTGGAGATCCACTGAGCGTATGACAATGGCATGAGGTGAAAGCCTGGTATTTAAACCGTAAAACTTCTCAGATTGCACTCCAGGGCTAGACAGACCACTGTGTACTATGAGATCTCGAAGCATTCTCATATTAGAGCTTATATTTAAAGAGAATATCCCATGTAACACTTGTACTCGTGCATACGAACTGAAGTACGGGCGCACATGTATGCGTATGCAATTTCATCAAAATATATAGAAATATATTTACTGTATTTTTACTAGGCTATAGTCCTAGGGGAGTGTGACGGAGTGTCACATCTTAGCAAATATCAGCATGTTTGTGTGTGTGTGTGCGAGAGAGCGAATGCACGTTTCTGTTCGTGTATGTTTGTCAGTCTTTTTTATTTGTACTACACACAAAAAAAAAACATCACGAAAAGAAAAGTTGCAGGGTAAACCTGAAATGGTTTTCTTAAATCGGTTTAAATGTTAGTGGTTTTTCATTGCTATTTAATTTTTTTTATTATTATTATTCAAGAGGCATGTTATGTCTCATGCAGACCAGTAGCCCCATTAATGTTGTGCCAAAAAAAGTCATTTTCTTTCGTTTTTCTGTTTTGCACTTCCAATGTTCTGAACTCTAAACAAATGACTGTTTGTAGGTTTCCAGTGGAATGGAAATGGGTACTATAATTTTTATTGTAAAATAATATTCATGTGTATCACTCCTGCTCCATACATTTCATTAACTGCCTTTTTTTTTAAGAAAAAAAGAGAAACACTGCATAAAAAGGGATTTCTTATTGCATTCTTTTTTTCCACAGCAAGATATCAGTCCACTGGGTTGAAATTAGACATTTAAAGTGAATCTAACACCTAACTATTATTCTGAATAGCTAGCATATGGTTTTACATGAGGGATTCATCACCACCTAGTCTTTAGAACGATTAAAACACATTTACCATTTCCATTGGGACTTCTTTTATTCTAAAAGAATGGGATTTGTATGAAAACATCATTAATGCGAGAATAAAAGTCATTTTCTGTATCTCACAATGTCATTAAATGAACCACAATGGTGTGTGTGTGTGTGTGTGTGTTTGATTGATGGGTGAATTCATTGTGCTGCAGGCTGATCTCCATCATATTAAGGGTGTCATACAGCTGCTTCCGCAGCACTGGTTGCATCTATGGCAGATTGACATGTGCTGTTATTGAGTGTGGAGCTGTCCTATTTGTTGCTCCTCCTTGAAGCTGATGCACTGCGTCTAACCGTGGGGAAGATATGGTGTTAATTACTGGAACTAAGGTGAGCTCTCAAACAATAGCTGCGTCTGTACGGCTGTCAGCTGCTGTTTGGGGAGAATGGAGCTGTTCAACCTGATTCTGTATGACGTGATGTGACATTTTCTTATTTTTGCAAAACATTCTTGTCAAAGAAAGTTGTTTAATCAGCTGATCGAGTAGAACACTACTGCACTGTGTCATTTGAACTTGCCTTGATGGCACTGAAAAGCACTGGTGACGGCTATGTTGTGGCTTGTAGTGGATGTATTTCTGAATTATTCGTTATGCTAGTATCGATACACAGATGTAAAGATATGAAGAGTTCAGATGCAAAACCCTCTAAAAGCCATCTGAAATTTTCTTCCAAAATTAGCATTTTACAGAAGTTATTTCGCTTTAATGGCAATGAGAATAAACTATTAAATGACATTAAAGTGAATTAACTGAACATAAACACAGCAGCCAATTAAAAATGCACATTTTAAAGGAAATTTTCAGATGGCTTTTAGAGGGTTTTGCATCGGAGCTCTTCATATATGCTGTAGATTGGAAGAGAGATGTCGATTAGATAGATGTAGATGTAGATATAGATAGATGGATGTAGGTATAGACAGACAAATAAGTGGATGCAAATATAGCGCAGATAGATGGATGTAGATATGGATACATCTATTCATGAAATTAATATGAACCTAATTTAATAAATGCTGTAATATAGTTGTTCATTTTAGCTGAAGTTACCTAATGCATTAACTAATATTGTCAAACTGTTCCATGGGGGAATAGTGATACGAGTGCGTAAATAACAATTTTCCTTTCTTTTTTTTTCAGTGAATTATTATTTTGTACCTAATTAAATCATTTGATCTCAACTGTCCATTAGCATTCAATGTTCCACAACTTCATATTTCTAGTGTGTAGGCTACTATAAATATACTATAATGAAACACGCGTCTCATTAACTCACATATTTGCAGCGAAGGCTGCCACTTGCACATTAAACGTTTGTGAAACGAGCTTCAAAAATGTATTATGACTTAATTATCATAATATGCTACTTTAAAGAGGCATTGAATAATAGTGCGCTTCTAGCCACAAATTCCTTCTTGTTTTCAGCCGCCCTTCAAACAGAAAGAAGAGTCATCAGGTAAGCCCTAGCAAACATTCTTCTGACAGAGAGGTCACTGGCTGTACGACAGCACATTTCCTTAGTGAGGGATCAGTGTGGTGTGTAGCACTGGAGATGCCCTCGGCCCTGCCAGCGCTGATTATCACAGTTCAGTCATGAGAAGTCAAGCTCCTCCCCCAAGTGCATCCTTATTTGGCTTGTGCTCGTGCTGATTTTCTGTCCTGAGCGCCCTCTCCGAACAGTTCTCGGCCACGGGAAGCCCTAAGAATGCCTTTGCGGCACTCTTAGGCTTCACCCCGAAAGCAACACGTCCTTCAAGTCCCCTTCCTCCTCTTTTAGAAAGGGCCAAGTCTCCTGCTAGGGTATCTGTTTCAAGACAGCTGCTGACAGCTCGTCTGAACTTGAGAACCAGTATTAGAACCTCAGTGGTCAAACATGAAAAACACTACATTTTTCTGCCTCAGAATAATAAAAGCATACTCTCTTCCAGCACTGAAATAAAATTCCTGTGGATGTCTGTGTAACTAAGCTTTGCATCTGTCAGCTATGCTTTTGTTTGACCCGCGGTTCTTGCAGGAACCAGTTCTTTAGCCGTCTAAGCTGACAGCTGGGCACGTTTTCCAGGAAGATGACCAGTCGTGGATCCTATTGCCCTCCATAAATAACACCACTGATTCCGGGTCTGCAAGATCCAGACCATACCAACTGGTTGCCTACTAGGACAGACAGCTATGATGAGATGGAAAACCACTAAAAGACCCCCACACACAATACAAGAATATAACACTGTAGTTACTAAAGAGAAGGATGGAATATGTTGCCAACATATCATGCACAAAAAACATACATTTAGTCATTTAGCAGACGCTTTTATCCAAATATATATATTTATACAACATAGGGACATACTGAGAGAAAATAAATATTTCTGTCATGTCTGTTGGGTAACACTCCGGGTCTGTCTTGTCATGGTTTAGCCCTGAAACTGGAGCTATTGAGAAACCCTTTCCATGTTGCTCCAGGTGCAAATGTCAAATCACCACGCTCAGTGTTCTACACTAAACTTGCACTTCTGCTGTTGTCCAGTAGGAGGAGAAGTAACAGATACTGTTTGAAAATGAATTTGCTGCTCAATGACTGCATTGTGAAAGCAAAATGGAAATCTGAATTTTAAAAAAATGCACTTCTGTTTATCTGGTTATATATAATTAAATATGCAGTTTTATTCTGTACTTTATTCTACACTTACCCTTGCAGTTACTTGCGTTTGGGAAATAATATTCAAAATAAACAATAAATGATAAAGACACCTAAAAAGAATCAGATGTTTAGTATATCACTGAAAGAAATCACTCATTTAGGAGACACAGGAACTGTACAGGCCACTGCAGTTGGTGACTGAAGACAACATGACTGCCTCTAGAGCTGCTTGATTTGTCCTCATTTATGACTGTTGGCAGCAGGAAGATAAACTCTATAACATTTACATGCTTACATTATCCACTGACACGATGATGTCTTGGTTAAGACAAATGCATGCCTCGTCATTTGTTGGAAAACACTTCGTTATATGTCTGAACCAATACTCACACAGTAAAGTCATGAAATTTAACAGACAATTCAGAAAGGCCAAAAACTGCAAAAGATGAAACTGAACCAAAAACAATTTTATACATTTAAATGCTCAATTTATATACATGTACAGAGATAACTAAGCAAATTCATTATTAAAGGAATAAATAATGCGTAATAAATGAATAAATAAAAGACATTGGAATATTTTAGAGTGACATGATCTGTTAATGTGACTATAGACTAGAGCATGCAGAACACCAGCTGACAACCATCTACAAAGATTCTGTTTCAGCTGCTATTTTGGTAAAGCAAAATGGAAATCTGAATTTTAAAAAAATGCACTTCTGTTTATCTGGTTATATATAATTAAATATGCAGTTTTATTCTGTACTTTATTCTACACTTACCCTTGCAGTTACTTGCGTTTGGGAAATAATATTCAAAATAAACAATAAATGATAAAGACACCTAAAAAGAATCAGATGTTTAGTATATCACTGAAAGAAATCACTCATTTAGGAGACACAGGAACTGTACAGGCCACTGCAGTTGGTGACTGAAGACAACATGACTGCCTCTAGAGCTGCTTGATTTGTCCTCATTTATGACTGTTGGCAGCAGGAAGATAAACTCTATAACATTTACATGCTTACATTATCCACTGACACGATGATGTCTTGGTTAAGACAAATGCATGCCTCATCATTTGTTGGAAAACACTTCATTATATGTCTGAACCAATACTCACACAGTAAAGTCATGAGATTTAACAGACAATTCAGAAAGGCCAAAAACTGCAAAAGATGAAACTGAACCAAAAACAATTTTATACATTTAAATGCTCAATTTATATACATGTACAGAGATAACTAAGCAAATTCATTATTAAAGGAATAAATAATGCATAATAAATGAATAAATAAAAGACATTGGAATATTTTAGAGTGACATGATCTGTTAATGTGACTATAGACTAGAGCATGCAGAACACCAGCTGACAACTATCTACAAAGATTCTGTTTCAGCTGCTATTTTGGGGATCCAGTGGGGGCGGCAGTCATATTTCAGGGTGACCGTGCCACTCTTTATCACAACCCTGCTAAAAGGCCCCTTCAGCTGGTGGCGGCCTAGGCGACCACCTAGCTTGCCTATGCCTAGAAACGGCCCTGTGTGTACGCGTCCGGATTGCTCATGTGGAAAGTATAACACAGGCTTTACACATCAACACCTGAACGCACAGGCAGGGCCGTCCTTAGCTGACGCGGGGCCCGGTGCGAGGTAGAGAGCGGGGCCCCCATCGGTCCGTTAGCGATCGCTTTACAAATGGTCTTTGTATAGAGAAGCAAATCCTATAAGGTCAAAGGCTCAGTGTGTCCTGTGCGCAGGGCTGTCCTTAGGGGGGGGGTCCCCCTCGGTCCTTTCGCCGTGGGGCCCCTTCAAGCGAGGGGCCCGGTGCAACCGCACAAGTTACACCCCCCTAAGGACGGCCCTGCGCGCAGGACACACTGAGCCTTTCTTGCACTAAATGTTCATGTAGCCTATGCTGCTGTACAAATCGTGCATTTCAAATAAAATGAGATAAATTCATTTAAAGATCTAACCCAAAAATATTTTGCTTTCAGACAGGCTACTGAAAAACAAAATGTTTGTGTTTTAAAAATTTTGGAAAAGACTGCATACAGTATATGCTATTCTTTTTTCCCACATACTGTTACAGGCACTTGTTATTATACATATAAATATAAATTCATATTAAAAGTTATAATTTCGATTGTTAAGTTACAGCTACACAACGTGTTACTTTTAGGCCTCTGGCGGTTGAAGCATAAAACGGCATGTAAGTTGCCATGGCATTCTGACAAGATGATCGCCTGTAAACATGTGATCATCTTCAGAGACAATGTCACTGACATTAAACATTTTCAATCTACAGCCAGCTACGAACGCATTGTACACTTTTGACTTCTCTACTTTACTTACAGACATGACGTAAATGCGAACGACGAATCACGGAAGTATGCAATTTCCCAGGAAATCCGTCCCGTCAGCTCAAGCTTGCCATAGTATCAAGCAGAAGCGGACAAAGTACTCAACTCCATTACTTGAGTGAAAGTACAGATACTGCTGGTCAAATATTACTCCATTACAAGTAAAAGTTGTAAAGACAGATTTTTACTTAAGTAAAAGTACAGAAGTACTTGCTTTTAAAAAACTTTTTTTATGTCAATGCACTGTTTTATTATTGCTGTATGTAATACTTGCAATACCGCCGAAGCAATTTACATTACACCTACTGAATACACTGACTAGCTTGTAGTATCTTTGGAATAAAGAACTTTTAGAATGTTAAAAACCTATGGGGGAAAAA